AATTTCTGCATCTCGATGCACTTCCGTCAGATTATTCCTCGAGAGAGACAACCACTTCAAAGATTTCAGATTCGAGAACGCATGTGGCTCCACTGTCGCGATTTTATTGAACGAGAGATCGAAAGTTTCCACTGAGGCAAACATGAACTTGTCGACAGTCGATAACTTGTTGCTTGATAAGTTCAGTGTTATTAGATTATCCGCGTTCTCAAATATATCTAACCCTATTCCATTTATGGAATTACGTGATATATCTAACGTTTGTAGAGTTGGTATTGCAAATACCTTCCCGTCCAAACTTTCTATCATGTTGTGTGACAATGATAGCGTTCTCAGAGACTTCAAAAACGTAAATATTCCTGGAGATAATTTTTTAAGCATGTTCTCTGATAAGTCCAGAACTTCCAAGTCGCTTAACCCTTGAAATGATTTCTGATTCACAGTTTCAAGTTTGTTGTTCTTTAGTGATAGAGTCTTCAAAGTTTTAAGTTCCAAAAAAGTCCCGGAATCTATAGCAGCGATCTCATTTCGGGCAAGAGAGAGTGCGCTGATCCCAAGTAGAGACAAACGAGTAAGTTTCTTGATTCTGTTGCTTTCGAAATTGGCCTCGATGGTATCGAACGTGTAATGGTCATAGATGTCCGGGTTTGGCTGCCTAATGAAACCAAAGTAGTCGCCTGGCCTCGTCTTGACACCAGAACAGTTGAGTAACAACACCTTCTTGTCAACTTCGCAGGTGCATATGTCACAGTGTTCCATCTGTGACAGTGCAGAGGAGAAAATTCTGCACGCAATGACTGCAGTCAGCCAGAGTCGAAAATTCGGCATTTTGCTGTTTTTGTCTCCTGAAAGACAACCAGAGAATCGTATTCATATTAACTGTGATAGATCAGTTCCTTGCTCGCCTCAGGACAAGACCAGTATTGTATTGGAATATAAAATATACATACAAAGAAAACTGTTTACACTATGAAGGACACTAATGCCAAACGCGTTTCGACCTCAAGACGTCATCATCAGTAGAAGTTAAATCATATAATATGGTTTTAGCAGAGCATAAATGTAAGTTCTTTACAAAACCATATTTAGTAACACTTCACAGGAGTAACACCCACGCATCGAAGTTGCCACGGCCATTAGACCAATGGACATAAAAGCTAAGTTCTCAATTTAATACACCAACTCCTGTGCAATCTACGTGCAGCGAGGTGTTACTAAATATGGTTTTGTAAAGAACTTACATTTATGCTCTGCTAAAACCATATTATATGATTTAACTTCTACTGATGATGCCGTCTTGAGGTCGAAACGCGTTTGGCATTAGTGTTCTTCATAGTGTAAACAGTTTTGTTTGTAATCATATTTTATATTGTAAATAACTGTGTTTATATATCCCTTTAAACCAGGAAGATAATTTAAATAATATTTTAAATATAGTTTCTGGATCATATAATACAACGCGTATTTATTACAATGTTTAAATGTTTAATGTTGCTAAGGGAAATGATATCTGTTCATTATGATAATCACAAGAAGGCGATATATATACTGTGAATAAAGGTTTTATTTTTGTAGCAAATGATGTATTTTAACGCTGATTTTTAAACTGCTCGATTAAATACAATAATAAAAATTATGTTACGTCATAAATTTCACAGTAAATTTTTTGTTGTTGTTGTAATAACGAAAATATCATACGCGTTTTATTACCATTCTAACGTCTTGACGTCAATTGTTCTGTACCACTACTAGAAGGACGAGGTGGCAAAGCCTGGGAACCTTCTGGAACGATGCTCTCATCAACCAGGTAGATAAACTGACGTCACACGTAATCCAAGACGAATTTGTGTCAGAAGATTTTTAAAGGCGTGTTCAGTGTTATTCGTGTTCGCGCTCTGTCTCGTCTGTACGGTTTCACGAGCACTAGGGCAAACAGCGCGACCTACTAGCTGGAACCCTGTACTTGAGTAATTCGTTCCAATGTCAGTAGAGCGGCAGTCTGGACGTGCGTTTGTAATAACACGACGAACATTATGAAACAAAGCCACTTGTACATACTAATGTCTCACGACGCAATGAATTATTATAATATCGCTAAATTGTAATAGTTTGTTTACTCACGTGTAAATATGCTGGAAGGACACACTCGATCTCGAAAAAGCCTTTAACACCATACTGTTCAGTATAACGTACAATTTCTCCATAACCTGACGCTCCTACAATGATAACAAACAGAGCTGATACAATTGTTTGGTTAATACCAGATAAGGTGAGGTTCTCTGTAAGTCAGTGACGGCTTGTAGCCTCTAACAGAGTAAAATATTAGTTGCTTTAACACTTACTTAATGTTGCTGTAACAAATGAATACATTATTTAGTGTTTAACGAGATGGGACGAGATTTAAACAATATATAGAGATGGAGAACGTTGTTGAGTGATTTTGATTAACGTGTTTATAAAACTGGCTGAATTCCATCGGTTAATCACGATTATCACAAGAATTTGATCAACATTTACGTATTTAACATGAAAACTAAATTCATACATGGTAGGGGAGACAAACACATTTATAAATATTGATGGGGAAATGCCATGTAAAATGGTAATTTGTGACGAACAAAGGAATCAGCACGTTTACCTTCAGTCAGGAGAGCTTGACGTCAGCAGAGCGTACAGCATCTGACGTACACGAACGTCGTATGGAACCAAATGTGATTTCAGTGGACGTGGTAACGCGGGCCGATGCCCCTGATGATGTTGACAGCGAGCACCTGTGGGAAAATAGGAAAAATTTCCACCAAACAGCACGGCGAAAGATACCAGGACAGACATCTTCGCTAAGTCTACATTTAATGACAATTCTTCTCCGACGTCCGTCTTTATTAATTTCCCTTCTGTTTGTATCATTCTAAATTAAATATGCATTATATATTACCTTGTTAAGTCGGTCTCCAAATGTGGAAGGTGGGTGCGAATATTGAATAAGACGCTGAGGGCGATCAGCTCACAAGGCGCGGTCCTCCCATCTTGGATTTTGGGTGGCGGGCGATAACTAGTCTTCACCATTAAGGAAAGCAACATGTTGCGAAATGTTTCACTGGGCTTCACAAAATGGACTCTGTTCCACGGAGTTGGTTATTAAGCGTCAGTAAATGAATTAGCGAAAATAAAATTGATCTTAAAGAGAAGGCGTGTGATTTATACGACTCAGAAACATGGACCAATACTGGGTTCTTGGGACCAATGTTATTCCATTTTGTGATTCCATAAAAGTCGAGGAAAATTCTTGATTATTTCAGTTCGTACAGATGCTTTAAGATGATGCGAGTGTAATCGATTAGTTATTATTTCACTGTCAGAGCTATACGAACTCTCACGAACTGTGCTGTGGTAGGCTTGTATCACTTATTAATATTTTCTTATTCCAGATTCGAATCCCTACAGGTGTATAAGTTAACCTGTACTTCATGTTTCTGTCTACTTTCAAGGCAGACGCTGCTTCATTCGATATTAATCGCGACTCATAACGACCATGTTGTATCTCATTCGATCCTATATAATCGATACTGTTTTTAAAGTGTTATTGGAGATGACAATTCCAGACTTTTGCCAGAGCTCGTACTACAGATAAACAGCACACAAGCTGCCACTGGAAGAGATAAGGAATGTGGCTGATAATGTATCACTCACCTAGCAACGAAATATATAGGACTCATGCTGTTTCTTTCCGTTTCTACTATCTTCTGATTTATTAAATTATCAAGAATCCTGTATTTACTTTATAAATTGTTTAACGCGCAGTTAGACCAAAAGATGATTATGCACAGAGAATTTGTAAATGGCTGTGGTCTATTTAAAACAAAAAATAAACGGTGCACTATATTCAGTACAACGATTAAATTCAAAAGGTGTTCTTTATGCGAAGTCATCTACTGTGACGTCAGAGGTTGCTTCATTCATAAACACGACTGAAAGGGATTGTGGACTTCGATTATCTTCCTCGAAAGGAATAACAAAGTACCAAAGGTCACTGTTGCAACAATGTGATTCGAGGTAAATGTTGTGAAATATCAAGACACAAGAGATCTCGCCACGGAATGTAAAACACCAAAATCCTGACGTTGAGTGGAATGTTGGGTAATCCATCCTTTTACAAAGACACTGCCCTCTCAAGATTGTTACAGGAATATTAGTTGAAAATAAAAACCCAACAACAATTAAACTTTTATTATGGGTGTCCAGACATACCCCTCCTGGACCACGTAAAAAAAATGTAACTGCTAGGGCCTATAAAATAGCAAAAATGTGCCTAATAGCTTAGCCATGTCTGCCTGTCATGAGAATCGCTAAATCGATTATCATTAAAGTTTCACTAGTAAGTCTACAGTGATACTACAGTAATCTGCTCAGTAGTATATGAGGATTAAGAAAGTATTTACTCAGAAACTCAGTAAGATATATCTAATTGTCTATATATTTAATTGTTTTTCTCCACTGGACTCACAATCAATTTATCATGCCATGACTAAATTTATCTGTACCAAAAAACAAACGAAGAAATTAAAGAAAATAAGATAACAATTGTACACAATAAAATATTTACATAAACTTACATTAGGTGATCTTTTATACAAAACAAAATGGTCCATTCCACCATTGCTGTTTAAAAGTAAATAGCTCTTGAACACAAGTTTTAATATTTTCCTGTTGGTGTTTCTGACTTGTTTTACAAGATTATAAAGGAGGTTACAACAGCAATTCATGGGATAATCTGAGAAGAATTCACATTATTCTCTAGTCAAGACATAAAGAGATGACATAACCACGAAATATAGCGCGTCCACAAAAGACTACATGGTTTTGAATGGGCTGTATGAAGAACAAGTAACAACTTCTAGGTTTTTGAGCTTCATAACTTGAAACATTTGAATTTATCTGTTATAAAAACTGCGTATAAAATTTAACGTTCCGGTAATATCGAAACATACCCTGCATTTTGAAACAGGATGAAATTGTGATTCCCGAAAACATAACCAATCCATATATATATCAACAAATATGAATCCCCATTTAAAACAATTTGTTTGCCAAATTACTTTTCTTTCCAGGTGGTCGGCTATACTGCGGGCATCAACTGAAAGTGAGAGGAAGGGTCAACTCGAGTCCTCACTTGAAGCCTTGCTAAACACCGAGTACAAAGTTGGCTGGTTCTCTTCTGGGTCGTAGCACCGTGCCTCCGACATCATTGATGAAGGAGGCAGGAAAGACCTGTGAAACAGTACTCTTCCAGCAGACTATATGGGGCTGCAACCCAGAAGACAGCCATTTCAGTTTAATTTTGATTGAAAGTGAGATAATTTATTCCCAATGTCTGTAATATCAATTTTTTAAGAATATAATTGTTTAATTCTGTGTCAGCTACTAGGATGGGCTATATTCATTATCATCCTTCCACATCCCTTGCCAAGTAAATCTATCTTTGACATAAACCCCCATTCTTGGTTTTAAGTTTATTTTGGCCTACACATTGCAACCTACGTATCTTAACCACGTTCTCTACTACAAATTTAATTCACGTCAGTAAATAATTTAACATGTATCTCCGAGGCTGGTACGAGTGTGTGAATATATCTGACACACGAGAAACGTTGCATACTGGACACATCCCTCAGCACTAAATAGTTCCATTAAATGGAAATAATATTTATTTTCAACCAGAAATTGTGTAAAACCCTAAAGATTTCTGTCTTCTGGGTTGTTGCGCTGTGTAGTCTGGTCGATGTTAACCAATGTTTCAGAGGTCATGAATATCGCCCTGATGATGGAGGCAGTATGACCTCTGAAACGTTGGTTAACATCGACCAGACTACACAGCGCAACAACCCAGAAGACAGAAATCTTCATCGCCCTGATGACAGAGGCAGTATGACCTCTGAAACGTTGGTTAACATCGACCAGACTACACAGCGCAACAACCCAGAAGACAGAAATCTTCATCGCCCTGATGACAGAGGCAGTATGACCTCTGAAACGTTGGTTAACATCGACCAGACTACACAGCGCAACAACCCAGAAGACAGAAATCTTCATACTCACCGCTGTGAAAACCTCAAATCTTACATGTAAAACCATTTGGAATTACCAGTAAATGCTTCTTTCCAGTACCAGACACTGAAAAATTCAGTGGGGTGTGTACATTTTCCACATCTAACGGGATTAAACAACATTTATATGCCTAACTTTGTTGTCTTTGTGACAAACATTACTGAGCTTAGAAACAAATCCCAAATAAAATGTCTGTTTCACATTTTTACTGTATTTTAACATACTTTCCTAGTGCATTAAACCAAATATTTTCTTCTGTGGACACCCTATTATATAGTACAAAATTCCAATGCCCCATGTGCCACGATGCATGAGCAATTAAGCAGTTACGTATCTTATGCATCTGCCTTGAAATCAAAACTCTAAATGAGCAGGAATAATTGCATGGTCAAGGTTATATCAGGTCACAATTCCTGAATTAAGTGAAATAAATCTTACTTGATTTACTGTGCAAAAGAAATTCTATTCCAAGGTGGTTCTACTCTGATATCTACAGTGAAAAATATTCACAACAGCTCTGATGCAAGTTATTCTAATCTGGCAGCCATTTTGAAGTTACTTTAACTCATCTCCAAAACAGCACAAAGTCATCTTTAATAGATATAATATGGCACAATTCCAAGAAATCCACTGTCTAAAGTACTAAAAATTATACAAATATAAATTCAGAGGAAGTAAAAATTTTTAAAAGGTTTTCTTAAAGCATTCAACATTTAACATTCTCATCCTTATATGACTGGCTGCACTTTTAATGAACCAAGCACCCTACATACTTCCATTAAGCATTTATACATTTTCTAACAAGACTTAATGAAAATAAATATGACTTCCCATCAATACTATTACTTATTTTAAAATCCAAATGCAAATTAATGGCTTACATTACATTTTAAATGCAGAATGCACAAAACAACAAAATCAAAAATTTATATGCATGTAATGGTTTCCAAGGGCTGCACAACAATAAAACATAACCTACAAATACAAAAAAATTGGTCTGCTGATGCAAGTTGTAGGATTCCTGGAAGTACTACAATTAAATTCACTTAAACAGAGTGGAATCTAGGGGGGAAGTTCAGAAAAGTGTTAGAGCAGAACAAGCAGTAAGAAAGGGCTGCCTGAATTGTTATATCTCTTTATCTAATAACAGCTGTGTGAATTGAAAATGTTTTATATCATCAAGTAAGGAAGAGGATGATCTGAATTTCTAAATTGAGATGTTACAGGGAATAATTCTGTACTTTGAAGTAAAAGATAAATGTTGGTGGATAAGAGTGAAGAAAACCAAAAAGAGCTTAGTGAGGTTATGTAATCTCCAAAGACTGAAAAAAAGGAACCTCCTGAATATGAAGCAAGAGTACTAGCCAATGACAAATGCTTTATTGAAATACTGACATAATTAACCAAACACTGAACTCTATGGCTGTAGTTTACAGTAAGCTTTGGTATCCTTATTTAATCTGAGTGGCAGAGGATTTTCTGTCAACCCACTGGAATACAATACAGTGCACGATGCAGAAACATGGTACTGCCCACAAGAATATATTCAAGACTTTTGCCAACAAATTATTTCAGTGGATTCCAGATGGCATCAGAAACTTAATCTCTTAATACTCTGAGTAGCTTTCTGTCTACCTGTTTTATAAACATTTTAGAACAGTGTTTCCCAAACTCTTTCGTGAGCACAATTTTATTTTAACCATGACGAATACTGAGGGAACCACACACTAAAACAAAACACCAAGGACAGAAAAATTACATAAACAGAGCAAATTCACAGTAGAAAAATAAATAATGCTGTACAATTTACTCATATCAATGAGACCCCTAAAACTAAGGTTCCTTTTAACATACCAACTCTGTGTAACAGCAATGCACTTGAAGTATCTGATACAGACGACACAGGACTGCTTCAAGACAAAATAATCTTTAAAGTACGACGCTGGTGCAGAAGATAAGGATCACCGGTAGAACAAATAGCACGCAGAAACTGGGCAAAACTAGAATATAATTACTGCATAAGAGAACCCATGAAAAACCAGATTTAGTAGATAGAGTGCCACAAAATATCATGTTGCACTGAACCCCTTGAGGTCCGCTTATTTGATGATATGACACAGGACTTGGAAGGAAAATATTATACTCTGTTCCATACTGGTCAATTTGAACAACTAAAAAAATATCACATCTTCTTGAGACTCCTTATTTCAATATGCAGAAACAAGAATGATGCATTCAAACCTTACTGCCATTTTAGTTGGCTGTATGAATTAATTTTTAAGAATTCACCACATAAGAAATGTTTCAGATTAAATTTGCAGAACCCAATAAGATATACATTTTATGGTAGCTACATTTATATTCAAGTGTAGAGCCAATTTAGACAAAACGGCTAAAAAGCTTACAGTGGTGACAGAACACTTTCACAGATTTAAGAGATAAAAGTACAAATAAACTTTGAAGAAATATTTTAAGCAAGGTTTCTGCTTGAATCAATCCTTTAAAGCCAACACTCTTCCGAATAATATTTAAGAATTCAGTCCATACTTCAGACAAAACATAACCCTACTGCATTACAAAGATCAACTTACTAATGCTGTTTAAGGAAATAATCCCATTTACAATGAGAATCATATGAAACTCATGAATACAAAATGTAGAGTTACTGACTGTTAAAGCAGTCAGTACACACAGTTACCACTGGGCATAAATGGGTTAAACAATTTTGATATTCACACATCACCATGCACAACCAATATGTAAAGTAAAATGTAAAGTTTATCTGAATACAGTATTTAAAAATAACAAGTAGGATTTGAGGTTCTCACAGTGATAAGCATGAAGATGGCCGTCTTCTGGGTTGTAGCACCATGCCTCCAACATCACTGATGATGGAGGCAGCAAGGACCTCTGAAACACTGGCAAAGTTCTATCTGACTACATGGTGCTACAACGCAGACAGCCATATTCATTAAAAATAATATTTAATCTTAAACTAGCCTCAAATTATTAAAAATGTTCATAAAATTTACCAAATAGTGTCTTGGGTTCCTAGACATGAAGCTACTCTCAGACACAGTGGAACTATGGATTCTCTGATGTTATGACACGCCATCTTGACAAACAAAATGGACACATTGGCACAGAGTATATTTTGCACTCCATGAAATGTTCACTCATTATAAAACATCCTATCACATACTCCACATCTCAAATCTAATGGAATGATATCAGGAGATCAAAAAGAACAGGCAAAAAGCAGCCTTTCAGAAAATATCTCGGCATAATGTCACAATATAAGAAAATATTTAATATTTTTATATTCTAACACATTCACTGCCAGATATTCAAATTGCAGTTTAAATTTTGTGGACCAAGCAGCCATTGCTAAACAGAACAAGGCAAGGTTTTTTGACTGAGAAACAAAACACTTCTGTCAAATACACCACATCTCATTTCTAAATTCATTCACACTTATACCAAACTTTTTAAGATAAAAAATGCAAGGATTCATAATTATAGCCCATCATGAAAACCATCACAGTCTGCATGACCAATCCATAAAGTAAGATGTTTTATCCGAAACACTGGGTAGGCTCTGTACAGGGTTAAATGGTAACAAAGATACATTTTTATATAAACTATTTGGGCATTTACAAGCTCAAAATTCACACCATGCTCATCACAGCATCTCGTCTACTGAATTTTCATTGCTGAAAATCCACACCACATATCAAATGACATGTATCAATGACAGAGAATGACAAATACAATGTTTTCCCATTTTTCCCGCTCAATTTCTTTCTCAATTCAAATCTGACATTAAATTTGCAATTTTAAGATTTTCAGATAACATTTTTTTACTGATGTCATCTTTCACATGTTAGAATGGAATGAAGGAAATTCACGGAGCTATTTAGTTCATTAATTTCACAACAAAAAATAACCATGAGTAAATTATTAAAAAAAACAGTATATAACAAAAATACAATTTGAACTTCCCAGAGCCAGTAAAATGATCTCTGAATGTTGTGTGGCAACCGAAGGATATTTAAAGGAGAAACTATTTAATGTTTTGATAACTAGTTCTGGTAATGCGAACTATCAATGATGCTAGGGACGTGTACTGTTGTTGGTAACAGTGAATGTGCTGAAGGTCTAGGAAATATAACTTATTACAACAAATGCCACCACTACATTTGCAAGGATCTATCCTGTCTTCAAATGTAGCACTGAAATAAGATCAAGCAGAAACAGTACAATTATGTCCACAGGCTGTTTGCTTTCAGGAATGTAGAGAAGTATCAACCAACACACATTCATCTGTAAGGCCCGTCCATGATTAAGATGGCCACATAACTCCGTAATGTCACACATGACTTCAACCTTTTTAAAATGTGTTATTATTACAAAATGTTCCAAAATGGTAATGTTTCAATAACCCTTCAGTACAGACAGAGAGCCACATCAGTTCTGAACACCAACATGCGCAGAATCTACGTCATTCAGTGCAATGCTGAACTATGTGATGAAAACAAGGGGCCGCAGTATCCAACCGCTGCTATAGTTAACCCAGAACATCAAGAAAAGCCAGAATATGCGGAGAGAAAATAAAACAAGCTGTGTTCATGTTATACTCAACTGGCATCCTTAAACCCAATCCAGAAACACCAAGTTCCATTCCGGAATACATTTTCAGTGAAACAATACAATTTATTTCCTTTCGCCTGAGAGAGTTTTCATATCACAATTAGGAGTTTCTTAAAGCCCTAATATAGGTTATGGTTACAAACTGCAATGGCATTAATTTTCCATCTCTCTGGTGAAGATGGCTGTATTTTACTGGCTTAAATCTATGGTTGAAGACATTACAGCATTTACTTGTAAGTTTCTAGTTTCCAAACTTGACTAATCAAGCTACTATGATCATAGTATCACTACAATATGAATAAGCCAGTCCTTTGAATGCTGGTCTTAAATACGCGACAATTCAATGCCCAGACTGTTTTAGCTGCAAATTACACAGAGAGTGAATTAGAATCCAATTATTTCTTTTAGTACACGACAAAAATTACAATTGGCACAAGGAGCTTTATTCTGTTAAGAGAAAAAGATACCCATACTTATAAGAAGTCACTACGTCAGTTGGTGAGCCACACGTGGTAACTCGTGCTAATAAAACAATCTGCCGTTGTAGAAAAAGTGGCCTGAAACCAACTCCACTGTTCATAGAAACAAACACCAACGAAAAGTTGTGATGACACCAGAAACTCTTAAAAAAAATCGAAACAAGACTTGAATAGAGTCCAAAATAAGACGCTTTGTTGATTCTTACTAGAAATTGATGTCTTTAAAGCAACCTTTCTGCATACTGTTTTTCAACTGATCAGCAGAGGACCATGGTCATAATGTTCCCTGAATCTAAATGTGTGTCATTTTCATCTGTGCAATAACTTGAAAGAAAATGTCTACAGAAACAATCCATGTGCTTGGAGATCAAGATCCAGAATGTTATTCTGTTCATCACAGAGAGAGGACAAAAGATGTTCACAGAATTTCTTACATTAATGTGAAACGTACTTGGATGATTGTGGACACTGCTTTCAGCAGCAACTGCAATATCAGGTTATATGGTTTTATTGAAAATATTTTTCAAGTGTGAATAGATTATTTACCAGCATGTTACTATCGGATCTGAGAGAAGTTGCCCAATGTCCAGTGTCTATGAATAGGCTGCAAGTAAAAGAATGATCCTCTCTGCACATTCAACAAGGAAATATTGGTAGTATTAAACAACAAATAAATGCAATTTGGATGTATAATGAGAACAGAAGGTGAAAGGTTACGAAAAACAGCAGTAAAATTGTAAATATGGAGATAAATTGGATTTCCAGGGAGATGAAACATTGAAGTGCAGAATGGCACTGAGAACAGAGGTCTTCAAATCTGCATCCCTGCAAAATTATTATGATTAAATACTTCGGCACCACAAATCCTACGGTGGTAAATGTACATTTGTAATTTTCATGGAGACAAAAGTGCTCCCATGATGAAACCAAAAAAATTGTGAAAAATTTTCACACATATCTAGATATATCATGTGACTCTAGATTGACATTCTCATGCAAAAGCAAATTACTATTTTGGTTGTCGATGCTGAAATGTAAATTAAATAAATTTTATAAATACAATTATACTTTTATGAGCACTTGCAACTAAAAGTTTAAAAATGTGTCAATTATCTTCACCCTGTCCGCCCCTCTGCCCACACATAATAACTCTGGAATGGCTTAAAAGATTTTCATATAACTTTATATTTGAAGTTTTACTGAACATTTGTCAACACATTACCAATTCTGGTTAAAATGGACAACAATAATGGGCACTTTACATAAGCCCTACATGTGTTTCCACATACAGAAGAAAGTGGGGAGGTGGAATTCCAAAACTATCTTGGTAACCATGGTTACCTGGGGAATCACCAGCCAGTCCCACAAATGGGGATATCTTCCATGATGATAACATCACTGAAACAGGCACCCCTCCCATGCATAAGTCAATGACCCCAGAGAACTCTCGGGTCAACAGAGCCTTCACAAAAATCAAAGGTCAAATTCTGTTGAATGTGCCACTGTTTTGCTATGCATACATTTCCTAATTTGTGTAAATAATTTGATACAAGGTCAGTGCAACATGCATATCAATACATTTTCACATTTAAAATATCCATACAAACTCTGATTTGGAGATGAAGGTCATGCATTCTAGACTTTGGCACAAAACGGAGGTGAGTGGTCAGTGCATTGGTTGCTTTCTCGTGGGAAAAGTGAATATTCTTTCTGGATGTGATGATTCCCTGCAAGGAATGGAAACCCAATCATCCAGTCCATGTAACAGGAACGTGCAAAGAGGTCACAATTCTGATACTCGATGGTAATAATCTTCCTACCGACATACAAAAGGTGACAAAACTTTTGAAGACATACTGTATCAATTTCAAACTATTCAAATGAGTAAGATTTCAATTAACAGAACCCACTGTAGCCAATGATTCTATTAGCTATAGAAACATACATCAACAGCAGAAGAAATTAGGAAATCAAGCAATGCCAATGCAACCTATAAACAAAATGAGACATCGCTGTATGTCTCACGCTCATTACAAATCAACCAAACATTCACTGAACTAAGCTTTCCATCTCAAATCATCTACAGTGCCACTAATGAGAATTTACATAAGAGTATAGTTTATGTTGTATTCAATAATTAGTATATTTCCTGCTCCTTTGAAAACGTACTAAAATTTTACATACATTTAAGGTAACTAGTTTCAGTGCAATATTTGGAAGGATTCCAGGATACACAATATTAATGTGTTCCCTTATGTGCTCTGCCCCAACACAATGTAATAATGATTAAAAACATGATCACCACATAATAGAGCCAGGGACAAAGACAAATTGCACTATTAATATTCAATTCTTCATACATATTTGACTTTAAAAATTTATGTTCAAAGCTCATAGAATTCGTCATGAAAAACATAATCCTACATTTTCAGTCAAAAAGGAGTAGTTTAATTACTGATAACTGTGGACTTGTGGATATTTTCCTAGGTCTTATGTATGATCAGTATGTACAGAACTTCATGATTTTTTCAGAAGAACCAGCTGATAATTCTTCAGTTAGTTGTCTTCCAGTTTGCTGCACTTCGTAGTCTTCTCTGCCTCTCAAATGTTGGAATATGACCAGAAGGCTACATCGTGCAACAACCCACGTGACAACATAATGACCTCAAATACTGCAACTCATTTGCAGTAATACTAATGAAGTTTCAAGGGCAAAGGGGCTCGCCATATTCTATCGTATCAAGTTATAGCTCAAACATATTGGATAGTTACTTATAACCTAAAACATGTTGTGTTCCTTCAATTTATTATATACACAAAAAAAAATGGAAAACTTGTAATTTGATTTTCAATAACAGCATAATACATTTCTATGAAGTAACTGGATTGATGACAGTCGACAGGCAAATGTCAAACTGTTGCTATGGCGATACAGTCTATTTTAAGGCATATCCTGCATCTGCTACTGAAATGACTGATAAATCAAATGACATAGAAACCCCAGTCATAACAGATTCAGAATTTACCACTTTCCCCCACTGCAATAAGTCAATGGAAAAAAACCAATGAATTCTACAGTTATCAGTCAAGAAAAGCAATGGAGAGGAAATGTACAGAGTACTGCATGCTGATCGTCTGTGCTGACTAGTGCCCTCATATCACCACACTCATCACGGAAATGCTTTGGTTAACTTCATAAACAAAACATTTCTATACAACTAAAGTGAAAGGTGACACTCCCACTATACTGAACAATCGAAATACGCAGAGGACAGTAAAAGTTTCATAGTACACGGCCACCCTTAAGGATGTTCTGACCTGTTCTGCGTGGATGGGAAACAAGTCGGGCTGTAGGTAATGAATCCGCCAAACCTCAACGTTAACAACATTAGACAAGCATAATCAAGGTTGGTTCATGGTGAATGCCGTAGCTCCATTATTGGCCATCAGGTCCAGGACATCACTGACGTACTGCGCCACATCCACGTTCGCCTCATCACTTGAACGAATGAATCTGTCTTCAAGAAGTTTGTTGTACTTGGGTCTTTGCGTTTCCTCCTTGATCAGGCTACAACATCAAAACAATTAACTCAAAACACAAATCAACAACCCAAAAGATAAACTGAAGCAGAAATTCATTAACTTTACAACTGGATAATACTTTGCCTAATTTAAAGTCCATATTATTACACATCCTGGAAGACAGATTATTGTTCACACTGGTTCTGGGGTACAACAATATTATCCAATGGGAACTGGGATTCCAGGAAAGAATACAATAAGTTAAACAGGGATCAACAAACTTTCACAAATGCCAGTTATATTAAAAAGTACATCTGCTTTACCATAACGGACATACAAGTTAAAGGTTGTTGGTAAATGTTTTACTTTTATTATATTCATGCTAGCAGCGTCATGGTATGAAAGAGTAGACAACTGATTAGAAAAGGTTTCCAGACCTAGAAGTTCTGAAGAGGTAAGCTTAAATTTGTTCAGACAGCTTCCAATGACCAATGCTGACGTAATAAGCCAATGCATTAACTCTTCTTGAAACATATTTTCTGTTCAAGAGATTTGAGGCTCTCACAGCAACAAGTATGAAGATGGCGGTCTTTTGGGTTGTTGTGCCAAGTATTCTGGCAGGTTTAGATTTTCCAGAGGTGCTTGTTGCCTCCATCACCAGGGTGCCCTGCTGATGGAAATAGCAGCAACTCAGAAATGCTGGTAAACTTCTACCAGACGACAGACAGCTATCTTCCTATTTTCTGTTCATTTCTCTCATTATTTCATCCTTTAATTCAAAAATAAGCAAAAATAAAAGGACAAGATGCAGGCATGGAGAGGAAGAAGCAGAGGTGCCCCCATAGGGGTACAGCCCCTAGTAACAAGCTGAGAAAGTACAGTCCATACTTGAATACACATAATATCCTCAAGTGTTCTTTGCAACGAGCATTTAGAGGCATTATATCTGTTTTGTATAATAGTTCCCACTTTGGCCACTAGATTGCAACACCTCAATGCATCATCTGTCATTTTGTCATCACTGCTCGTAGTAACATTCAAAAGTATGATCTGAGGTCGTGCAGAATAGCACGACCTCCACATCAAATTTCATCCAAAACCACCCAGTGGTTCTTGAGTTGAATCAACTGGACAGATAAACACAACCAACCCACAATGCATTCTTCCTATGCACTTTGTGCAAAGAACGTTTAACAACAACTTATTTGTATGATGTGAAGTCTGAGAAACAAATTAGGCTCGAGTTCTGCCTGAAACTTATCATTTGTTTTACAATACCCCATAGCAAAAAATAAATGCAAAATCACACTTTGATTTTTAAAATAAAAAATCACTGTATATGTATAGAAACTACACTGATTAATCACCTTGATGAAAGAGGCAGCAAGGACTTCTGAAACATTAACTCCTACCAGACTAATAGCACCACAACAGACAACTTCTAATTGCATTTATGTCCAAATTCCAACAGAGCTGACAAGCAATGTATTTTCCTACATGAACACAAAACTGCTGAATCACAAATACAACATTCGCAATCTTGAAATGCCATTAATTTGATCTCCATTTTTTCTTCTTCATAAGAATAAGTCATAAATATGAATATATTCATTTTTAATTGTTCCATCAAAATAATTCGTGATTTATTCCTTGTTACAATAAATTTAAATATATTTAGTATTTTCAACTAATCACACATTAACATTTATTCTACAGGGATAGGGGAGAAAAACTCCCATATTACATGGCTTCCAGCACATGGCCAGCTGGACCAAACATAAGCCATGATGCAATGCCAACAGACAAGCTCGTGGAATACCAGAACACAATCAACATGGTTCTGCCTTACCAAGAAAGTTCACTTGTAGACACTGACAATAAAGATTACGGAGAATTAGATGTCTCTGCCCAGATACCAACGTGTTTTCCACTCTTGGTCGCTAACCTGAGAAAGTAGGCATGACATGCAGACAACAGAGAACTGAAATAAATCAGTATTGAAAAAAACTCACCAAGTATTCACAAAGTTAACAAATTCAGTACTGAAATGGTTTCCATTTTCATTTGGAGAAAGTCGTGGAGGATCTCCCTGCACGACCTGAAACAGCTGCTCAAATACCGAATTCCACTTTGGGTACGGAAAGTGTCCTGTTGCCACTTCCATAAGGGTGATCCCCAGAGACCACACATCAGAGCGAACATCATAGCCACGTGCTCGCTGTGGGTCTATCCTCTCAGGCTGAAACAGTCGGAACAACATGCAAGATGCAGAGACAAACTATCACAAAATACCTAACTCATGTGTGATAAATGGCTACAATTCTTTCAAGAAAAGTTTCAAAATCTCATCAATTTTCATTGATTTCTTCTTTACACATATAAGGGCAAGCCATGCTAGAAATCTCATACCATTTTTGTTCAGTGAGAACTGCTCTAAATCCCAAAGACATTACTTATTGCACTTTTGTGCACAAAGTCTCTATATATTAGGGGATAATTTCACAGCAATTTTTTTATGCACTTCATATAACCTTGTAAAATAATTATTACTTTAAATTCTTGATGTATTAGGACAATTTTCTGCAAAAAGGAATTTTTAGGGGGGAAATCTGTAGTTATAAATTAAATTTCACATTTAGTGTCAAATCCCACGGTGCCAAGTTCAAGCCCTGTTTCTCGAAAATGCTGGTATCTACCAACAAGTCTACATGGAGCAAAAATCCAAAAGGCTGGTATCTACCAACAAGTCTACATGGGGCAAAAACCCAAAACAACATCATTACCATATCCTTCATTTCAGTTCCACTGACAGCAATAAAAACAATATGACAATCGTATTACATCCTACCGATTTTCAAATCTTCATTTCAGAAGTTACTTACAGCCATATATGGACGGCAGCCAGCATCGCGAGTGCGAGCTATGCTATCCACTAGCTGGCCAGAGATACCAAAGTCACACAGCTTGATGTTGCCTCGTTTGTCCAACAGAATGTTGCTTGGTTTCACATCTCGGTGAATGATCTTCAGTTCTTCCTTCAAGTAGTTCAGTGCCTTCACAGTCTGCAAGCAATTGAAACACTAAATTGCCATGTATACCAATGTGTTATCACATCATACAGATTAACAAAGTAAATTCACACCTTCGACAGCTCACATTACTACAACATAACCCAAAAAAATTACATCTATCAGTAGCACTCACAATGTAAAAACAATGATCCTAGCAAAGCACAGTGAAAGCTTGTCGAATAAATCGGAAGAAATATAATAAACCAAATATTTAAATTTCCCAAAATCAAAATATAAAATCTGGCTTAAACATTAATGTCAAACTGTCACAATTTATTAACAAGTATCATGTGAACTCATTATGTATGAAAATACGAGTCAACTTTTTCTGCCTCAGCATTACGTGAATCGTTGCTTCCGGTGCAGAGGTGAAAACTTCCAAACAACTCAGCTTTACTAGCAACCACTTACAGTGTCCACGTGCAATAATCTGCACAGGACTACATTCAGAAAAAAAAGCACCTCTGGATTAACAGACATGCGTGGCAGTCCAGTGGTTCATCACATGAACCAATTCACCGACTTCTTCAGTATTCATTTCAGCAAAAGCATTGTAAAACAATGAACTTTCACTTTCAGTGGGTATGTTCCGTAGTGTGTATTGTTCTGGTGCAGCTGCCATATTTTCATGCGTTTTCAGTAATTTGTACATCGAAAGAAAGACATTTATCATTAATCGACAGTAGCACATCAATTCTTTCAAACCTACAGTCACAGCTTGCATCATTGATGTAGCCAAAGGCTAATGGTGTATCTTGTACATTCCTTTCTGTAGCGCTGTGCTACTCAATTCAAATCGTTGAATATGAAGGCATTCAATATTTTTTTTAGCAAATAATGAATAAAAGGGCATATGGTATTTGAATAAATACAGTAATAGCACACTTTTTGATATAATTTTAATGTTCCTATATATTATTAATATAATATAAACCGCAAAAGTTGTAATTATATTGACAATGACAAAACATGTCATGATAAAGCATAATGCGACACTGATGACAGCATGCTATGACAAATGTGTCTGTAAAAGAATACATGCATTACAGTGTTAATGGAAAACAAACACATCTGAATTCTATAAGCCACCGTCGAAGATATGACTATAATAATGCCCTTGCGAGTCCTCGCTTTATTAAGCTATATAAGTAACAAGTATCATTTCCACAACAGTTCAAGTGCCATTTAATATATTTAATTTACTTACGGCTACTGTAATCTTTCCTAATATACTTTCAGGTATCCTCTCTTGTAATTTCTCATAGATAAACTTATAAAATTTATCTAAGGATGTATCCATGAGCTCCATACATATCCAACAGTCTCCCTGTACAAAAAAAGGAACAAATAATCACTATTAAAGGGACAAAACATCCACAAAAAAATACAGATTTTACAAAATTCACACCAAATTTTAATCCCCAATACAGTCAAAATAAAATGCATTGAAATGTGAAATCCTAGATGGCAGAAGTTTACTTCGTTAACATATACCAGACTACATGTTACATTGTCTCAGATGACAGCCATCTTACTACAATATTAGTTTATTTGGCAATAATGTCAAGTGTCACATTACACACCAAAAAAAGGTAAGGGCAGTTAATAAGGGAGAGCCGTATTAGTCAGTGAGGAAAACCTGGAAGAATAACCTGCATGCCAACAAAAATCATCCGCAGAGGTTATCAGAATCAAAGGAGAAATGCCACAATCAGTTTGAGCAGCATTTTGGGAAGTGCGTGGGAAAAGTCACGGTGCACCAACCCTGCACATGCTTGGAAGCAATATGGACACCTGATAAAACAAAGACAGACTACAGAAAAATGGGCTATATTTGGGCAAATATAAAAAGACCGAAAACCACTTTGAAGGGCCATAAATTTTCAGACATTGTCAACATTCAGGAGCATGCAAACGGCATTCAAGAAGAGGAGTTCAAGAAATGTTTCGAGCAGTGGAAACACCAATTTACTAACTGTAATGGTGTGTAAGGAGACTACTCTGAGGGTAACAGCAACCTGTAGTGTATGTAATTAAATAAATACAGCTTTTACAGGGTAATTTTTAGGAGCTTTAATTGTCACACCTCATATATTTAGTTCCTTTATGAAATATGCAACATATGTTAAACGGGATGATTACATTAACATACCTCCTTGAAGAGGGCACCATAAAACTGGACAATACAAGGACATTCATTTGATTTCATAACAACTTCCAAGTCCATTAACAGCTGTTTCTGTTCTTTCTCATCAACTGTTGACCGAATCCTCTGTAAAGAAATTTACAACACTTTATGCGTTCTGTCCTATGACATTCGTTGGCTGGTTCACAGGATAGGCCCTTAATAGTGACTTATTAGTGACACAAAAATTAGCAAAGTTCCATCCTTACCTTAACAGCCATAACAGTATTACTCCGCCTATGTACCATCTTGTTAACAGTTCCAAATGCTCCTCTTCCTATTTCACCCAAGTCTTGGAGGTCATCTGATGTGAAGTCATAAATCTATACAGAATATCAATTAGTAATATAATAAATTAAAGAACATCCACATTTATTTCATTTTAATCACCTTACCCCATATCTCAGTCTACCTATGAATAGCAACCACTTTCCATTACTAACTACCACAACTTTATTCCATAAATATTTACAAACAATTACGATGCATTCATCCAACCTACAAACTGTTCCTTACTGAGTGGGATAACATGACCCCATTTATTTTCAGTTGTAACATAGTGTATTTTACGCGGATATGCCACACGTTGATCGACTTACCGATTCTGGCGACACTTGCAACTTGCCTGTAGACTGCATGCTCTGGCACATTCGTAACCTGTCTCTGTAACGTAAAAAAATTAAATAAAATAAATCATGAACGAGAGCACACTCCTAATGGGCACAGTCAAACAAAGTACACACCGTGATTTGTCAGGTACAGAATCAGGATTAAACGGGCGGATGCGAGGTGGACACACTGTCTTCATCCGAACCGGGCTTGAGTTGAGCTGCTCGTCATGAGTTGAGTTAGAGGAAGGTTGTAATTGCCTACACCTGAAATACAAAAGTAAGGCCAATGGGATTATTTCTGTAAATCAACATGTAGCATGCATGACAGGCATAGGAAATACAAAAGGATATCTGACGGAAAGACACCAGTTGTGACGCCTAGGCACATATGAGAAAATATTATAAACATGGATCTTAAACACATTGGAAATTAACACCAAATTCTACTCGTGGTTAGCCATAATGTCCACAGAGCCACACCACCACAAGTCACAGAATCTTCAGCTACCTGCTTTGTCTGCCTAATTAAAATTGATATATTAACCTAAGCATTAGACCATTAAATGAGCTGAGAAAGATCAGTCAGCGGCACAAAATCTTGCACACACAGACGTAGCAATTTATTGTTCCTGGCAGACTCAGTCAAGAAAGGGAGCCCATAAAAATTAATCTGCGGCAAAGCGTGGGGTGACATATCTTCATAAACACTGTTGCAATACCACCAACAACAAGAAATGCTACTACCACTGTCACCAATTTCAGCTTCCAAGTTCCAAACACAAGTTTCTTGTTAAGCATTAATTTAGTACTAAAATGTACTCAATTAACAACAATTATGTTCTAATTTACATATTTAATTTCATATAATCATTCTTTTATTCAAAGCCTTGCAGTACACCTGACAAAAGCTCATGGCACACCGATTTTCAACCATTGGTATAGTGTTTGACTACAGACCAGACAACCTGGGATTGATCCCTGGCAGGGGTCACAAATTTTTCTTGTAACCTTTGCATCCAGACCAGCTCTGGGACTTACCCAGCCTCCTACCTAATGGGCACCAGAGGTCTTTCAGCCAGGGGTAAAATACAGACAGGATGTGATGCTGACCACTCACTCCTACTTAGTGCCAAGGTCAAAAACGACCCATCCTTCAGAATATTAAAAATTAATCACATTCATCTACAATTCATAGATTCTAATATTTCACAATTCTACAATATTTTATCAGATATATTTCATTTCCCACTTAATGTACAAAGCATTCATTTATATCATGATAAGAAAAGGGGTTATAATTACAGATCAATACGTAATCAACTCACGTCAGAGATTGATAAGAAGCTGTACCTCCACTGCCTCCAATCGTAAAGTTACTAGGTGTAAAACTCAGCTTCAGTTGCCTCCGTCTTTCAGCTGTAACACATGGCAAATAACAAATTCACATCTGCCAACTGGCTAACACATTCAGAACCTTTTAGGAGCAAGTCACAACGCAAGCGTCTGTTGTTTTTCTTTCCTACATTGTCTAACAATGCTGTATCAAGCGCAAAAGATTATATAACAAATAGGGAAATGACATTTACAAACAAAACGTTGTGAAGACTATGGAACTGTTACCCATTAAAAGATATTACGAGGTGCGTCCACAAAGTAAGTTTCCCACTCGTCCCACAGCTAGCAAACCTTATATTGCGCGAAGCGACTGTGCGTACGTGATAGAGCAATGACGTAGCATGGCGCATGCACTAACGGCACTTCCCGCGTTCTCACAGTAGCATCGTTGAAGATGGAGTTTCTTATTCCAGCTCCCGCCGACTGTGAAGTGCGGTCAGTGATAACGCTAGGCCGCACACGACTCGACGGACAGCAAGTCTCCTGCAGGAGTTCAGCTGGGAGGTGTTTAATCATCCACCCTACAGCCCGGACCTCGCTCCCAGTGATTTCCATCTTTTCCTACACCTCAAGAAATTCCTGTCCGGTCAGCGTCAGCGTCAGCGTTTTGAGAATGACAGAGAGGCGGAGATGGTTGTCACACAGTGGTTCCAATCCCAGGCGGCAGACTTCTACGACACAGGTATTCAAAAGTTGGTCCCACGGTATGACAAATGTCTCAATTCCGGTAGCGAATATGTTGAAAAATAGCTGGACACTTGCTGTATCTGTTGCAATAAATATTTCCATGAAATTGTATTTTGTTTCTGTAAACGGCCCCAGGGAAACTTACTTTGTGGACGAGCCTCGTATCTTTGGGGATTTAATTAACCCCTTAAAGGTGAAGTTCCCCTAAATAATATATAATAATTCAGTCCATACCTCAAAGAAAACACTTCACTATTACAAAGTACAAGAGTTTAATTAATGATGTTTAATGAAATAACCCTGTTAACACTGAGAATCATTCAAAGCTCATTAATACAAAATGCACATTTACTGACTGTTGAAGCAAGTGGTACACACAGTTCCCACTGGGCTTTAAAATGGTTCATTCAGCTTTCTAATGAACTACGGGCACAAATATTTGTTTCGTCTTAAATCTTCTGATGAACTACGATCTCTGCGCATTTGTCATTGTTTTGAGCTACTTTATTTAATTATTTGTGGTCTGCAGAATTTACGCACAGTTAGCACTGTTCACAAAGTAACCTATATACATGTACATTTTTTCTAAAATTCCCAATTACAAAACTTTTCCCATGACACTTTATGAAACAGTTATAAAAAAACACAGCCAGTAATGGTAATCTACTTTCTGTAGTCACGACCGGAAAAAGTAAACTTTTGCAGCTCGGTATATTTCAGTGCTGGTATGTATATGTGGTGCAACAGGAACGTGTGGCGTAAACAGCGTAACTCTGGCTAGTAAAACAGGTTGCCATACTGTGCCTATTCTGATTTGTCAGCGGAGCAGAGACTTTACCATCAGGCTGTATATTGCAGCCAATGAAGAAAGTAACAGCAAAGTCTGGTAGCTAAATTACAACTTAAGAAAGTGCATTTACTATACATAAAATTAGAAAATTCTTACAGTATAAGTGTAATTTATAAATCAGATCATGCTTTCTTACAGTATCTAATTCTGCATCAGTAATAACTGCAGAGAACAAAGATATGAAGAGATGAACAATGATAAAAACAGCAAGAAAATATTAAGGCATATTTATGGCTTTTGAGTTTGGGGGAGGGGGTGTGTGAAAGGCATTGAGGAAAACCTAAAAACAACAATTAATCACATGACTAAAACTTATTTAGAATTACAGCAAGAACAATTTCCTTTGGGTAATACATAATGGACTACCAACAAGATATCACATCCAAAATTCAATTTGTAAACCTATAAACAATATTAACATGCCAGCCACAAACAACTAACTTCTGCAACCATGGAGAGAAACTCTAAAATCAACACCACTAACAAAGTGTAATTCCATGGCTGCCAACAATTAAAAAATAATATAAAACATTAACAAGACTTCCTACAGCACAATACACATTCGCATATAAGATACGATTGGAAATTAAAATTCCAAAGGTTTTCTTTGTACCACGTCATGGTGAATGGCATCAAGCATACCAACCAAGGAAAAATCAAATGCAACAATAGTATCAAAGAAAACAATAGTATTCAAGGTCACTGTTGTCATAATGTGATCAAAGACGCCATGGATGAACAGACAGACCCATGAGGTGTTCTTTGCTTAAAGTAAAGCATGAAGAACACCTAATGAAAACAGAGTTAAAAATACAAACAAGATCTTGGCATAAACAGCCGAACTGGCACAAAGAATAACTACCAAGGAGGATGAACATGGCAGGTGTGCTGCAAGCACAACAGAAAAGAAGCAGTTGTAAAGATACAAAATAAGTAGAAAGTTTTCTAGCTAAAAAGCCACTCAAGGTACAACCCAAATTAATTTTATTAAAGTTCCTTTAATGTTCTGTAACTACCACAAATTGTTTATAAATTCATATAATGACCTAATTGTAATGTGCTTTTTTGTTTGGTTACATATTTAGCGAATAAAAATAATCATGATAATAAGTTATGCAACTTAAAAGTGAAAAACAGAAGATACACATTCTGCAGTCCATCTGCCAGCCACTGGAATAAAAGAAATCTCTCACAAGACATGGACTTTGTATGGAAAGAATTGCAATGGCTGGAAACACAAAACTAAGAAAAATAACATAAAAAACCTGGTTATACTGTCTATTTAATGTCCCTTATCTGAATTATTATTACAATAAACTACACTGAAACAATGATACTGCTTATTTATAACAATCTAATGAATATAAATTTCCAATAACAAAAGAAAACAATTTCTGGAGTCACATTCTTCAACCAAATTTTTCTTAAAATAAACTAATAACACAATCAAACTATAATATAAGTTCATAATCTAGCAATGAAATAAAGTGTAAATTCTAAGCCCATGTGCAAATGATTCTGAGCTCATGTAAAGACATATGATAAAATCCTACTATGGTAACATTTTCCTTATTATTTAGCTATAATCATTGTTATAACTAGTGTCTATTAATAATACTATTATATTTTTAGAAGGAACTTATTACATACACAGATTCAATGTTAAATTTGTCAGATATAACCTCAAAGTTTCACAATGACACCATGTTTGTAATGGCTGACTTATAAACAATATGCCATGTAAAACTTGCAGCCCCATTCATGAACTCAATACCAAATTTCAAATGCCTAGTTCCAACAGTTCATTACTTATCACCATCAAACTGAAATCTAAGAAAATATTCACACAACGAGAATGTTATTTTACATTCTCCAAGAAGGTATATCAATAAAAGTTGCATTTCTTAAATGAACTATCACTACACACAAAATCAGAACGCTATATTAACTGATGCTAGTGTTGCTTACAGCTCAAAAGGTCAGATATCTTCCATGCTGCTATTACCAACCGAAAAAAATTAAAAAACACAAGTTTGGGGTGGCCTCCAACTGCACAATGCTAAGATTTTTTGCGAAAATTAGTCAATTGGTCAAAAATTTCAAAAGGGCACACATACAACATGATTTCTTTCCTTAAAAAGGAAACTTGATTTAATATTAGGGAATGTTCAAAAAAAGTTGCATACACATTATAATACGGAATATTAACCTTGTTATCAATCTCCATGCGTTGTGTTTACAAGGGGAACCTAGTGTAGTCCACACTTAACAGATGGCACCACAATATCCTTTCTAATGATTAGACTGATAGACAGGACACAGATGATCTGTTGAGTATCCCTGACAATTGTCAAATTGCAGTGTACAGCACAAAGCGTGCAACACTTCAAAGCTCTGGCAAGAAATTGAACAGTCCTGCGCAACAATTTTGGTGGACGCTCGTCAGTCAGTTGCTCAACAATGTCAACTGTGCCATGAAGCTGACGGTGGTCATTTTTAGCACCTACAATAGATTTGCAAATTCACTATTTGCAAATGCTGACACATGTAATGGTTTAGTTTATTAAAATGTACTTATTTTATTCATTGAATATGTGTATACATCTTTATGGGATACCTGTATGTGTATGTGTGTAATAGGACACTTTATAACTGTGTGTGTGTGCGCACTATATCTTCTAGCCTAAGGACTTTCCACAAAAATAAAAATTCATGGAATGTATGCAGAGTGCAAAATTGTGACGAGTTTGGTCTGATACTGCCGCTAAATTTTCAATTTGTGAATTTTAACTGCCTTCATGAATAGATAACAGCAGGACACATGGGAAAGGACTTCCAATATAAATTATTATTATTAGTATTAAATACAGAAGCTCAATTCAAGAGACTATAATAATTCTCATTAATTATGAGAGAAATTCAAAAAGCAAGGGAAACAACGGAATATTTTCATCGCATGATTGGTAACGCTTCTGAGGCCATGTCATGCTGTAGTTCAAGGTAGGATGAAGACAAATTGCAAGTGTGGTTCAGCTGTAGTCCATTTGTGCAGCATAAAGATGGTTGTTACACTAGAGGTTTGCACCAAGGATAAGCAACATTAATACTCAGTCTTGCAGCAATCTTCATGGTATCTACTCTACAGTTTCTAATTATCATTGCTTGAGCACACTCCATATTTTGTTCATCTGTGGATGTTGATGGGCATCCTTTCCTGTCTGCATCAGCACTGGTTCAGCTGATTTTAAACACTCTGATCCACCCATACACACTTCATTGTGGCAAATAGTTTTGTCTCTATTTGCCACCCAATTTTTTACGGATCTCTGCCCCTTCCATTCCTTCGGAAATAAAATAATTCTATACTGCACGCTGCCTGCCCTCAGTGCAAACCTCTAGTAGAGCACACATCTGACACACAAGGACCACAGCTAAACCACACTTACAGTATATCACCATCTGACCTTGAACTACAGCGTAACTAAGCCTCAGCAACGTTGCCAATCATACAACATAATAATGTCACTTACTGAACTCCTAATTTCTGAATATGATAAATGCATTTCACTGGAGATCTTTTATCGTTGTCATCATTCTGTGTATATCATAACTTGTAGTACCCAGCAAATCTGTCCATCTCTAACCCTGAAAACCTGTCTTCCACAAATGAAACCGGTCACCATCTAGTTTGAGCTACCTTACTCAGTGGGGCAGAGTAGGACAGAGATTTAACTTTTGATCTAGACACTTACAAAGTGAAAAAATCCATACACATTACTTATATATATCTTTTTCATGCTCGACAGATACGTGGTACTTACAGGGACAACATCAATGTCAATTACTAAAGCTGAAAAAGGTGTACAGTATGTATTACTACCATGCCTCCAGACACTTTCATAACACGGTGCATACAAAGGACACCTTTAGCGAGATTTCAGGTTCTCACAACAGCGAGCATGAAGGTGACCATCTTCTAGGATGCAGCATAATGCAGTCTCATTGCTCTGATGACAGAGGCAGCAAGCACCTCTAAAACATAAGTGAACTTCTACTACACTAAACGGTGCAACACCCCAGAAGACAGTCACCTTCAAGGATACCATTACTTTATACCGACACAACTGAAGGCATAGCTGTGATTTTCACTTCTATACAACACAAAACTAATAAAGAGCATCAATACTGCCAGTCTAGCTATCTCTCATGTGAGAGGAAATCATTATAATTATTTTCTTTATAGCAGTGTTGCCATAACATGAGCAGCATGCACAAGAACAATGTGGCTGTGTAACCTGACATGTCCGTGTCTGTTGAAGCTCTTAGATCCAGTTTTTGGTACAGGCTACTGCTAGACATAGCTGTGGACAATAAGGAGCAAACCATTAGGTCAAACCTCTATGTATCATCACCTATTGGGCACTTACATTAGCCAGACACTATTCACTTCTGTAAGAAGAAATATAAATTTGTGAGAACTACTGTAGCTGCTTCGTTGCTGATGCAAAAAAAATAAATAAACTCATGTGGAAATGTAAATTTTAAACCTTCGTGTCAATTTTATATTTTACAATCTTACATACAATGAATTCTCTCTGAACAAAATAACCACGTAGCTAAAATACTGTTCAGTATATCAAAGTAACAAACAATAAACCCCCATTTCCAGAAACCTAATTAATAAAAACTTTTGATAATTTTTTTTTGTGCTTTCTTCTGTGTTCTGAACCATAATGGAAGCTGTACAGTCCTCTGAAATGTTAAAAACCTCTCCCATGGCATCAGGACTCAAAAGGGGAAAAAAACAAAACAATTATGGGGCATGGACTACCATAAAAATACAAAATGTTACAGACAATGATGAAACTTAGCACAATGTGTACTTGTAAATAAAAAATAATATGTATAATAATGTGCTCAAAATATCTTTGGATCATTACAAATAAATGGAAAAGGAACTAACTCAAATTTGACTATGTGATTTCTGCACAGACCAAATGAACAGAGAGACAGGACCAAACATCTTCTGTAAACGCACATTTCTTCTAAATTGAAATAATAAATGGAGCTCCAAAATTCTGCAATGCCGCAGGTTGTGTGTATAAGAATCACACACTCCCAGTACTGTCAATATGGAAGGCTTCTACATTCACCTAATGCAACCCTAGTAACTCCTGCTCTGACACTATGTACCTGAAAATGCAACCCTCTACAATGAAATTATCCTTGTGACCAAATGTCAACTACCACCATACTTCAAACACACAGCACAAAAACCAACTGCATTTAATCCACAACACCAAATGCATTCAGATATAAAATATACAAGCAACTCAATAAGCAAATCTATGGGAAAGTAATTCATGAGGTCATCAGTTACTTATAACTCAACACAGTTATCTAAATTATACAGTTTTTGAAAATGGATAAAGACCTTTTTGGAACACTGTATATTCACTTTTGGCATGCCCTGTTCAGAGTAAACTGTGGTTGTTGAAAATAGAAGCAGTGATACCAGTAATTATGATTACTGATATGATAAAATGCTGGGGGCAAATATATGTAAGTCACAGTAAAATCCTAGAAACCATAACTACCAGTTCTTTAAAATAAAAAACACAAACCCCAAAGTGCAGTAGATAAAACTAGTATTCACTTAGTCCCCAGTAAGAACTAGAAATTACTACATTATTACAAAAATCATAATCAGAGTTGGAATACACAATTTTTACATACAGTAAACATTAGACAGCCTTTTGCACTGTGCAAAAGTGATGAACATGTCAGTCAGTACGAGCCTTGGCATCTTCAATATTTGATTAAAGTTTACTATAGTAGGATTTGAGGTTTTTGCGGTGGTGAGTCTGAGGATGGCTGTCTTCTGGGTTCTATCACCGTGTAGTCTGGTAGAAATTTACCAACGTTTCAGAGGTCCTTGCTGCCTCCATCATCACGGTGATGAGTCATGAGCCTACCCTGAAGACAGCCATCTTCCAAAGTTTACTACAGTTTTGTTGCATTATTAAAGTGTAATGCAAGTCTATTCACTTCAGTCCTCAGTAATTATTGCAGAAATTGCTCTTTCCACTGAAAGCAGTTTGCAGCAGGAACCAAAGGCATCTTGAAGAAACTTTCATTCCCATCCCTATTGTTCACAGATAACTATGAAGTGACAGCAAGTAGACACGAGAGAGAATAGGGTGTTACAAAACATCTGCTTGTAAACCAAAGCTCAAACTGACAGAAACGCCCGTCGTTGCTGCACAGCACAAAGGCTGCCTAGTGGTGACTATACATAACAGTTTACAATTGGTCAGAAACAGCAGGTTAGGTTAAATAAAAATTATGAGAATGTCATAACAAGTTTGCTCAATATCCTGTACCAATAAATTAAATAAACATCGTGTAATAAATATGAGGTATTTCTCAGTAACAAAACCACCCAAGAACTACTTCTAACTAAAGGATATGCAGTACAAACCAGATTTTACTAAAAAGAACAGTAAATACTAGATTTTCCAATGTTCATTTGGGTTCATGGAACATGAGCCACGGACATATTCATCTGACATAGAGCTGAAGCAGCAAAGTGCTGGGTGTTGGTCCCCCATCTCAGTACTGAACAACATACAACATAATCGAAGCACTCTTAAAGTTACGCACATTATGTTCTTGAGGCATTAAAAGCTTGTGTTTGATCATCCCATGCCCCTCATACCACCATTGATGCAGTAATTATTAGATGGTGTTATATGATAATCTATGGTCTGCCCCTTGTCAAAAACATATAGCTGGAAATTTCTGAATGCTCTTTACAGTTCACAAAAAAAAACTAATTTATTAAGTCGTCCAACCCCACTCCATTAACATCTTAAAGTGAAGATGCAAAATTAACTCTAAATATTTTCCTTTTATGTTGTATGCATGTTCTCAATTGTAATTTAATTCCGTTAACAGTGAACCTCAGGAACTTCAGCCACTAGCTTCTTTCTACATTGATTTACTGGAAAGCACTAAGTAAAGATATTTTTTTTAAATTGAGGCTTCAAATTACATGTTCATAACTATATTCATAAATTAGATTTTGTGTGATAAAGTATGTTTCTGTATAGAAATTCATCAACTAATATGGAGCAGTTAACTGATTAAAAATTGCATTTGTTAAGAACCCTCAAATGTTGCTACACATAAACCTTGTGTACTGTGCCCATTCGGGTTATAATGCTATAGGTGGTTACCAACATTCCAGAGGAATGTACCACCTCCACAATCACAGTGTAAAACATTACAACCTATAAGACTACAATACACATTTTCACAGCCATGAAAACATAAAATGTCATAATAATCCTTCATCCAACAGCAATCAGCCCTCTTGTCATAATGTAAGTACCCAATATTATTTTTCACTTTAATAATCAGTCTGAACAACAGCATAATATGAAATGTATAAAGCAATAAATGAGACAAATATCATTCAGAAAATTTGATTTCATGTTACAATGCTTCAAACTGGTGAAAAGGATACGTACAAAGAATATGTAGCAAATGAAGAGCATAATAAATACTTTTTCATTTAAATATATATCCTAGCTTGCCAAGCTGAACAAACAACTTATAAAAGAGAAAAATATATTCCAGTTCAGCATCTTGTAAGCAAGCAAAGAACTCTGCAAAAGAAATAAAGTAATTTACTATAGGCTTATATGAAAATAGTTCCATTATGCAGGTAGTTACATGGAATGACAATGCACTGGCCTCACACATTGTACACTTGTCCACACATGTACAAATTGTCAATAAAATGACTGTCCTTACAGTGGTTTTAAAGTAATTGTGACCAGCGGCAAAAATATGCCCCCCCTTTTCTTCCCCTCCTCCAAACTCCCACCCACACAACATCCTGATATCACTCTTATCTCCACTCTTAACTCCTGCCAAATATAATGGTAAGGTAATATAAATCAATGAACTCCATTTATTTAATAGAAAGGTATCACTGCAATATCAGTATGTAAAACTGATGTAGGCCTATAGTGCCTACCTCTCAAAACAATAATCCACATATGGTATAAACCATAACAAATGATGTGCAAAACTTTCTGCATGTAGGAAATAAATGCCACTAGCCATTCTAGCAACACCCAAACTTAGCTAACCCAAATATTAAAAACAAAACAAACTAAAAAAGGCGTTCGTGAAATGTGAGTTCAAAAGTAACACGGCAGCAGTGGCCAGTTTCAAACCCGTGGATTTAAAGGAAATGGTTTGGTGCATGAAAGTGTAACACATCATCAGAAGTAGGTATGTGCACTGTCACAGCTACTTCTGCAAGTAACCCCAAGCACTTTTTTAAATATTTAAACACAACATCTTACAATCTCACCACCACCACCACCACCATCAACAAATAGCTTTAATCCTAAACTTGTCAATGAGTCAATAGTGAAAGTAACCAGAAATCCAAACTAAAAGAATACTTATGGGAAAACTAGTGTAAGTATTTATCTTCATTGCCATACAATTTAGACCACAAGATAGGAGGAGTCACTACACAAATATACAGAGGAAAGAGCATAGTAAAATAACCTAATAAAGGAGAAGAAATTAAAGTATGTAAAGACAAAGATGATCTTATGAGTAGTATCACCCTTAAGACCAGAGGACATATGCTTCTGCTAATGATTATGCCAGGCTACAAAGAATGAGAACAGATTTGATCATCCTGAGAAGTCTACAACACAAGCTCTATGAGAGCTATAAACCAAAATACAATCTTAGTCAACTAAAGAGATGCTTATACTGTCTGTTCATTGAACAAGCAGGAGCATTTGATAGCAAAGATGGGGAAAGCATGACACAGAAGTTTGAATCACCCCTCAGAAAATCTGACCTTATGATGACTCTTATAAGGGATTTTTTATTTTATTTGTAGTGTTCTGTCTGACAACAGGTCCATATGAACAGGATCCTTCCATCCTTTTCTCGGACTGGGACCTGTTCATATACGTTCTTGGCAGATGATCCAGAAGTGGTTTGCCATCGCCTTCTTCTGTGTGTGAATGGAGTAATTGTTGGGATGCCACGGAGGAAAACTCCGTGATGCCTAGACCACGGCCTTGCCCAACACAAGTTATAAATTTGAGCACCACCGGGAATTGAACCCGGGACCCCAGGCTTACAAGGTTAGTGTTCTGACCGCTAGACCACCGTGGCGGTTATAAGGGATATCCTGGATTATAATCAAATGAGTATAAGCAATAGTCAATTTCTGAGAGTAAAATGGAGCGCTTAAAAGAGAATTAATGAGCCCCTTCTGTTCAGCTTAACGACTGCAGACATAATGATAACTGTCATTCTCTGTAATGCAAAACTCCTCATGTATATAGATGACAAGTCTCATCCTCAACAAACTCAGCACTTACATTGGAATTTGACAGCTTGAGCAACTCATCATTCTGACTCCCATGCATATATTTTGTACACACCATGTTTGATCACTAAATATTCAGTATTCTGTATATAACTTGAGTGTACACTGGGCATACCACAAAATATCTATAACAGACAGATCAATGTGTTCGAAAACAAATATGAATTCCATCATCCAAAATTTTTGTAACCTGCATAAGATTCAATGCTGTACACATGAAATTGTTAATCTCTCTCTAATCCCAAATGTTTGCATAATTACTCAAATGCTGAAGAACCAACCACATACATGTTCCCAACACACTCACAGCAAAACACTGAGTTGGTGTGTAGTATGGTGCAATACAATAATCACACAAAGTAATTTACCACCATTAAAACTCATAAAATTTACATAATAATTATACTTTCTGAATCTAATACAAACATACCACAGAACAAATAAAGTTACACACTAAACTAATGTGACCTGACAATGTTATCATTATGCTAGTTTTTTCCTGAAAAAACAATATTTTGTCTTTACAACAAAATAATAATATTGTGACACATTAAGGTTTGACTGAAAACATGACATGAACTGTTTGAATAGCATTCAGTATGACTTAAATAATTCATGGCCAGTGTCAGCTTCAAGACATACAGAGGCCTTACAAAAAGTACTGAAATTAACACGAGCAGTAGCTATGACCATAACTTACAGATCATGTTACTGCTGCACCCTACCACAGATACACTGGACTGAACTAGAAGCATAAACAAACCCTTCAACAAGCAACAGCACAAAAAAAGAGCTGCAAATTGTGCACATAGCATAAAAATTATGGCATATGCTCCAAAATCTTATCTTCAACCTTTGCAGATGATACCAGTTACATAAGAACTCTCTGGTTTATTGGGGATTCTTCTGGGACCATAATAGCCATGATAACCAAGGAAAATAAGGTCATCTAGTTATTCCCCATTCAATCACTTCCATGCACAGAAATGCAGGTAAGTCTTCATGCAAAATCATTATTACTGTTGTTCAATCTTAACCAAATCTGGGATGTACCAACAAATTTTAGTAATTAAACACCCAAATATTAAATTTGATCAAAATCTGCTCAGGGGTTCTCCAGCTATTAGACAGATATGGTGTAACTGATAGGTGCATCAATGCAAATTATAGTTGTGAATACACAAAAGAATATCATAAGCTAAAGCACGAATTCCAAATTCACCTGCATTTTGTGAAGCATTTTCTGAAAATGGAAGTTACATTCTTGACACTTTCCAAAGCACTTACGTACAGACAATCACAAAACACTTACGCTTTTTAAACTACTAAAATAATTATATAAACTTATGAAGCCTCCGAGCATTTCTGCTGCAAATAATTTCAATATTATCACTCTAAATAAAGGTTAATAACACGAAGTACACAATCCATGTACACAGACAGCGATAATTATACAGAAATAATGTACAGTAGAAGAATGCTTCACATATTCTTCCACACTGTAATAATTATTAGATTTACTATAAAATTTAATGTATGAAATTCAAAAACACACCTTGATTCAATTGGTTAGAAGAATTTCCCTGGTGTTCTGCCATCTTGAAATATATTGGACGCGCTTGTACACAAATAATAGAACGTATTTTCGCCACTTTAGGAAACTTTTCCAGCCCCCTTAATAAAAATAAAATGTCCTTCACTAATGAAGTAAATCATTTGTTTCGTCTACTAATTACTTATTGTTCACTTATGCTTAAAATTAACCTTTAAACCACCAAAGCACCTGCCCTTTGCAAAATTCCATGATTGTACTTTTGAATCGCTCACCCAGCGCGCTGTTGTTCCCAAAACATCACGAAAAAGTATGGCCCCTCTGAATATGGTGTTCGGTTCGGTATTGCGGAAAAACATTATCTTTAATAATGCAGAAGTTTTGTACAAGTATGATTTCTATAATAATTATTTTCTTTGATACAATAATACAATTATCATACAATAACAAATGAGTTCTATTTGTTGGTTCTTGTTGCTGTTCTAACCTAACCTTACAGAACAAACATTGTGAACACAAAATGTTAAATACGAAAAGGGAACACTGTTATTACATACTAAGGATTAATAATTTATTTGATAGCTTTACATCAGTACTAATGCTTCTTTGTTTTAGACGGGTAAATCTCGTGAATGCGTACAGCATGTATGGCCCACAGTTTGTAGAGCCTGTTTACAAGAAAGATAAACAAGAATCGATGTATGAGTCCGGTGAAATAGAAAATATATTGCATGTACCAGTTAAGGCAGCACGTGTTGATGCCACATGCTCAGTTTTCCATGATGAGCTTGTCAGGTACGTCAACATAAACTGTTTCAATTAATACATTCTCTGTGCAGAAAAGGCATAATTCCTAAAGCCAAACTTCTTACCCGTTTAGTATTTTTAAGCTGAAAGTTTACCTGAATATCATATTAGAAGCCAGACTGTTTAGGAAAACAGTCAGTATTTATATTGAAAATCATGTAAAACCCATACATACTCTGGGAAAAATTAAGAATTCTCATATGTTATGGCATATGCTAGTTATGATTGGATTGTGATGTATTATCTTGTAGGTGGTTACCAATGTTTCAGAGGAACATAATCGCCTCTATCTACAGATGACTGACTCTGAAGATGGAGATGATACATTCCTTCAAAACGGTAAGCACCCACAAGTCTACATGGTGTCACAATGCAGAAAGCCACCAGTTGACATGCAGAGCATCATGAGAACATCATATTCAAGGTGGTTTATGCAATTACCGCAGTGCTTTGAAGTGTTAAGGAACATTTCAAAACATTACTTCATTGTCCAATGTTCTTTCCTTACAGTGTGGAAGAATTTTCATTTGTAAATATAGCTCATCACCATATAGTATATTTGGCATGTAATATGTATGTAGTAAGCTGTATTGGAACATTTACCAGAACATCTTAAATGTTGAATTTATCCATTCTGACCCTATCGAGATGTATGTATCAATACCAACCAATTTTGCTGCTCCATTTCACATTGATTAAATTATCACACAGTACAATCATAGCTTTGTACTGACCATACTTATCCAAATATAACAGGCACATTTATTTTTCTGAGTGCTTTCCCCTTATCAACTTTAATCTTGATCATACATTAACAGTAAATTTTCTTCTCATTGAACAAAATTATTAGTTAGATATTGTCATTTTTCTCGTAATATCCCTCGATTTAGTAGCTGTAAACAAAAAATATTTTTTATGTGCAGAGTGCTATAGGTGACCATTAAATTGTCATTATTTATTTTCATGTTGCCTTTAAAATATGGAGCTGTGGAATTCAAATATGGTATCCTATCACCACTTTAATCTTGAGATATAAAATGCTTAGTATTGGTCTTACTTATGTGTGACAAAAGAACTTTCTTCTGTGGAAATTAAGAATTTTTTTCTTTTAACAGGAAATTCACAAACCTTGTGATGAGGGATGGAAGGAAAATTCTGGCACGGGAACTGATTGAAGAGGTATATTGGAAACACTAGCAGATCTTGATTTTCATTATTTTATTATGCAAAATACATTTCAGAATAACCAAATGTCACAGCATGTGGCAGATCAGATTATCTGACAGGAGATTTTACTATTTTCTTCTTAATCATGTTGGCTGACTGACTTCTACCAAAATAATTATATAGAACCTGCGTATATCATCCATAATTTATGAAAGTATGTCCTTAGAAATGTTGTTCTTCAGGCTTTTGAGAAAATTAAGAGAATCCAGTTGCAGCGGTATCATAGTACAGAGGACCCCGAGAAGAAAACCTCTGTTCTGACAGATCCACTGAAGATTTTTCATGCTGCCTTAGCAAACAGTAAACCTGTACTTCAGTTGACACCCATCAAGCGTGGTGGAGTCACATACCAGGTTGGTTGTTTCTGAATTGCTCTTAAGTATTCAGGATGCTGGCAATGATAGAAGTGAGGCAGTGCTGCTCGTACAGATGCCAAAACATTGTTACTCAAAGCATTGAAGGAAAGTATCTCAGTTTTTGTTTAGACTCTAACAGATATTTTTATAAAAATACTATTCAAAGAAATGCATCAATCAAAACTTATGAAAGTGGTGTTCATTCCCAGAAACTTTACCTACATGAGCACCTGTACATGCCTAAAACAAGACATGTCTTTTTTATGATGCCTCACCTTCATGTTCCTTTTAATAATGGGTACTTGTGGGTTATCGGGACACATCACTTTAAAAATAGGTTAGGTTAGCTTAGGTTAGGTTAATGTGTGTGGATAAATGACATATACTTGAAAGTTATTATATTTTATTTGGAAATGCATGAGATGTTGATTGTTGTTACAACCTGTCTCCGGAGGCCAAAATTCACTTATAGATTTTAGAATCGTTTTAAAAATATCTCCGTTATCATTTGTACGCCGCCACGTGAACTCGGCTAAATAACTGAATGAACTAACAGATAACAACCGAGTATACGGGTATACTGATACGCATGCGCAGTTTTCCGTCCAGTCCAAGTCCAGATATTCGACTCTCCCGTTTTGTGTCCCGATAACCAACAAGTACCTAATAATGTAGTGTAAGATATGTGAAGAATGATAAAACTTACCATTGAATGTTCAGTGGGCATTACACTAGTGCAATATGAAATGTAGCAATAGATCATCAGGGTAAATTATGCCAGGTGCTGCTGTAGCATCCTGGTGTGTTATGTTGATTCTTGGATTCTTTCTTGTATGTCACGTTTCATACACTGTTCATTGTCCATTCAGTTATATATTTAACATTTTAAATTAGTTAAAATGTTTAATATGTAAATATCATTTCTTTTTGACATCAGGAGGAGATAATATGATCCTTAGTGCAATGACATAGGAGCAGGGATTGAACTTGGTGATGGCCACATTGGGCCGAAACACGTTCAAGTGAATGGACAGTGAACAGTGAAATGCGATGTACAAGAAAAATCAAATAATGTAATTTACGTCATACACGAAGTTTATGCAATAAAACCAGTTGTAAAAGTAGCATCATCTGTAAGCCACTGAGCAGTAGACCTGAGAAATCTATCATGTCAAACAATTACAGTAGCAATATACAAATGAGAAAGAAAAAGATACTATCCCCATATGTTTTGGAGGAGCATACCATTCTCCAACTTAAGCCATAAGATGGAGGCACAGTATTCCTCAAGCATGTTGGTATTTGTTTACAAGTCCACGAGACATTACAACCCAGAAGACTAACACTGATTTCTCACAGGTTCCTGTCCCTATAACAGACAAAAGATCACAGTTCCTGGCAATGAAATGGATAATTCTGGCTGCAAAGGATAAGGATCCCAAAGTGCACTTCCCTGAGAAACTTGCATGGGAACTGGTAGATGCTGCAGGTAATCAGGTATGTAGCCACCGTATCTTTGAGCTGCTATCATATACGGTAGATAAAACGGTTACTTCACAATACTTATACAGAGAGTATGTTTAACAATATGATTTTATGTTCTGGCAATGCATCAAATTTACTGACATCTTTCCATGGTTTTCCTTGGTCCCTTCAGGAAACTTCTAAGATGATGAAGATTTCCGTCTTCTGGGTTGTTGCGCTGTGAGAACCTCAAGTTCGAAGATGACATTTCATAACAGGACCTGACCATTCATAATCATCTTATCACATCTCATTTGACTATATAACCTCTGCAGTTAGTACAGGATCATAAAATAACCAATAAAACATACATTTATATTATGTTCGGTAAAGTGCAGGTTTGATTCATGGCAGAGACGCTTTCACCTGTCTCCTCGCCACCGCATACAGACTCACTCTGGAGCTTTACTTGGCCTCCTGTCCAGTATCTTGAGCTCTCCCCTTTGGGATTAAATATCCAGAGTGAGCACTTCCCTGAGGAGATTAATAATGCTTTATCTCTGCTCCTTTATGGCACAATGCTTAGGAACAGGAGTAGTTTTACCTTCAGTTTCAGTAAAGGTAATGAGGTCAATGCATTACAGGGAAAAGTGGTCAAGAAGAAGCAGGACTTGCACCGCCAGTGCGAAGCGAACCGAGCCTATGCACATTACAGATGGAGTTGAGATGCTTCATAATTACTATAAGTTGTGATCATGTCATCAAATAAAATAAAAAGTTACAATACATACATAAATGCTTTTGTGTTTATTTCATGTTAATAGAAATATAAAAGCACTTACTAATATACGGTAAGTTTGTCTATTGCTTTACCAGTGAAAATAAAACACTTTTGGCAAAGTAACCACAAACAAGCACATTTTATATGCATAAATCCTTGCATATGACTTTGGTATTTCATGGCAATTAACTCGTGATCTGATTTGCACCGCGAATTCAATTTGCCAGGCTTTAAAAATGAAGCTTAAAGCTACATTTAGGCAATAATTAAGGTCCAGAACATGGAGTCTGATGTACCTTATCCTCCACATTCCCCCCAGGGCATGTCAAACATCCAGTACAAATACCACAGAATCAGACACATGTATACCTTGCCTAGCACACAAGGCATAATGGAACTGAGTACAGACAATACCTCATAGGAAGTACGTGGGATTACATAAATTCAATGTAGAGATGAACAACTGTTTCTAAAATTACTCATTATTATCTGATTTTACAAACTCTAGTTCTTACTATTATTAAAATTGGTCAATATCACCAAACACATCAGTAAAACGCTTTGGGTTAAGAACAGTTCCATAGCGAATGGTAAAATGGAGTTTCTGAGGTGTAGAATATCGTCTCAAGATTACATAAGGATCAGTACTTTTTTCACTCATCTCAGAAAATGGCACAACATCTGACAATGGACAAAACACATCAACACGTTTCCCCCAGAAATTTAAATAAGAGATTTTTACTGTGCTACTATCAGAACTGAGGTAGATGGATCCCACAAGCTTATGGAAGATAATACCCACTGAATACAAGGCACAGCATGTCACTCCACCTGTAACACAAAAGAAAAATCAATCTGATATTTTCCTTTGACAAATATTACAAGAATGACTTACTTCAAGTGGAATGAGAACAAATTACAAAACTTGTCCCTCTAATTTAAGTCCATTCTAGCCACACTAATCAGACAAAAATTACACTTCACAGGGAAAACTGTTATCAAAATTTGCCCTGAAACATGGTATATGGAATTCATTTAATGATAGTCAGTAGCTCAAACTACATAGTGTCAAGTGATAGGTCGATTTGGGCAATAAAGTGGAAAGGCTATGGAAGAAAGTAGTAGTGGCCTAATTTGAGGTACTAACCCACCACTTGTCTGGAATGCCTGAGCAAAACCATGAGTCAGGAAAGATGGTCTCCAGGCCAATGTTTTAACCCCAGACCTACTGAATATGTAGGAATGAAAACCTCAGACATGGTATGACCGGGAACTCAAGCCATAATTTGTCCTTTTACCCTCACAGTTCCTACATCTAAATGATATATTGGGGCAGAGCATATGACCTCAGCCCTCCCCCCCCCCCCCCCCCAACAATTCACCACTAAAATACAAAACATACCTACAGTAATGAATACTATCATTGTTTCTGTGCTGATAACGTTCATTAATTGCAAAAGTACACTTGCTGGAACTCCTGCAACTGTAACTGCCGTGATGTGTTTCTTCAATTTGTTAACAACACCGCCAACTCGCACATACGGAAATCTGTATAGTATATAGTAATCTTTAGATGTTTCACTTGTATCCACCGCATTTTGTACATTGCTCCCTTTCCTTCTCCCAACATAACTGAAATCATTAAAATGTGGTTTCGCATTGTTTCTTGAATCCGCGTGAATTTTACAGTTAAGGTTATAGTAGCCGTTGGTTTGGGAAGGTAGCAAACCCAACCTCGAAATAATACTGTTACACCACTTAATAACACAGAAATGGTGAGCGATTCCTCTGACTGGCACCACCATAATGATGTCGACAACGTTCAGTGGCCTTATGGCTAAAATTATGCAATAATATACTTCTTGAAACTGTGACAAGTAACCATGCTGCAGAGACCACGGACGGTCAACATAAACATATCAATCCTTGCCGACCTCTGTGCCTTTCCGTATTATACAGGGATCAGCTGTTCAGGAATAATTGCAGTGTACGTAAATTTGAAATTACAGTTAAAATGGATTTGAAACAAAACGTCATAAAGAAATTAAATGCTGAATTCGGAAAGGATGTAAAGAATATTGGGAAAAGCCGTGATTTGTATAAGAGACTTGAAGAGGAGAAAAGTTCTATAGAAAAATCTGTAAGTTATATGTAACGACATGCAAGCGTTTCAAATGCAGCTCGTTGTTGCACAAATTGTTGTAAGTGAAAAATTACAAACTCCCGTTTTCAGCAAAACTGATAATGCGCATTATGGTTCCCAATGCTTTGGTCGGCTTTAGTGAAGAGCAGAAAGATTGTACGACAGTCTCCTTACGAAAACGCCATTATTGCCATGTACTTTTCAAGCTGTTTTTCAGAACGCATCCCCCCTGTTATGTAGGGAACACGATCGCAAATACGTAATTATCTTTTCAGAGATAAAAGCCAGTAGCACTTTCAGAAAATGTTAGAAGAGGTTGAAAACAAAATATTTCCTTTAAGTAAACTGACCATAATGAGTTTACTAATTCTAGACCAGTTTCCCAATACCACATAAGCTTAGTTATATTGCTGTATTCCTCATGCCCTATCAGTCTGTACGTTTCTACCGTTTTGGATGTTTAGTCTGTACAAAAATATACTGACCATATTCGACAATTTACAACTCTTTTCCAAGAAGGCCAAAACACATTTGTACACCTTATCTTCCTTTGTTTTTCTAGTCAGAAGGGGTGGTGGGGGAGGGATTTTAAACTTACTGGCTCACAAACTTAACCTTTAAAATATATATATATAAAAAAAATTATTTCACATGTGAAATAGATCATATTTTGCATGCCAATTGTGCCTTTCCATACTATACTTAATTAACAGTAAATGTATTGATGAGCTCTCTTGTTCTTGTCAGAATAGAATGTAATTTACTTACATTCCATAGATCCTTCATAGGCTCAAGCCAAGGATGTAGAGCATGTCATTGAACAAATACAATACTTGTTTCTAATACAAATAATTTGTAGAGTAATGACAGTAATTTACAGTCAACTACAGTATTACTGTAAAAATAATTACGCAGGAAAACATCACCTCCATTGTTTACATATGTTTATAATAACAGAATTTTTAGTTAATGTAAATTTTTCTATGGAGTAGGAGTGAGATAGGAGATACTCTTTTAGTGCTGGCTGAAACTTCTTTATAGTATGACTGAGACATTTTGTATTGGGGGAAAGATTATTGAATAGCTTAATTCCAGTATAGTAAACTACTTTTTGATATTTACTGAGGGAAGTGTTTGGCACATGAAGGTTTATCTGTATCTTGTACATATATTGTGAATACCTGAGTTTCTTTGAATTTTTTTTATGTTTTCCACTGTAAATGATAACAACGAGAGCAAGTCTTTGCTAGCTAGTGGAATAATATTAAATTTCTTAAAGAGTTCCCTACATGAAGCTTTTCTTTTACTGCCTGCCGTTATTCTGATGATTTTATTTTGGATATAAAATACTTTTTTTCTCTTTGTTTAGTTTCCCTAGAAAATAATTCCATATGACATGATTGAATGGAAATAAGCAAAGTAAGTTGTGACAGAGTGATGTGACGTTCCTCATAGCAAAGCATGCAGAGCTTAGTTTAGGGATAATGTACTGAATATGTGTTTTCCAATATAAGTTATTGTAAATTTCTAGGCCAAAAAATGTAGTTGTTGATGCTTCTTCAATTGTCTTATTCTCGTACCCAATACCGAGATCAACACAATTTTTGTTGGTAGTATAAAATTTCATGAAATTTGTTTTGTCAAAATGTAATGTGCATTTTTTTTTGTCTCTAATCCATCAATTCAGACTAGCAAAGATATCATTCATGTAAATTTTATCAATTTCTGGATGTGAAATAAAAATAGTATCTGAAAAAGTATTGTTTCTGACTGAGAGTTTATGGTTGGCAGTAAATTATTGATATATAAGAGGAAAGGAGAGGACCAAGTATTGAATCGTCAGGAACTCCAGGTTTTAGAATGCCCTAATTTTAATAGTTGCCCCTTTGCAGGAATCAACTACCAGACATCATGGCACTACAACCCAAAAGACGGCCATCTTCATTAATTTAGAATTCTTACTGCAATTAATAAAGACTAATGAGTGCATTACTAGTTATCCCTTCCCACTTCATTGACATGCACAGAATAAATGAGTACAAATATATCTCTTGTACAACCACTCATTCTGATGGTACTGCACCGTATTACAAGTCACATTTTACTAAATTATTTTTTTCTTACAGCTGTCACTTGCTAGTAGTGAAGTACCTTCAAAAGTGAGTGCAGCTATAAAGGCTGTTGAAGATACCACTGATCAAATAAACAGTCTGAGCACACAGTTTGATGCCGTTAGCGTAGCTGTAAGAAATCAGCTTCAGAAAGATGAAGGAATAGCCACTCAGCTACAAGAATATTTTGATAAAATAGATAATTTAGAAAAGGCGTTGGCATATTTACACCGTGTCAAAACCATCGAAGATATAAGGTAAGAACACGTTTTTTGTAAAATGACTTATGATCCGTGGAGTTTATACGATGAGGACTTTTAACAGCTGTACTTTTCGCATTGCCATACACTTCCTTGTGTTTATTCCTCAGCAAAGGTCTGGAATCAGCTTTAGCAGAAAAGGATGACTTTAAATGTGTGGAACGGTATGTGTGCCTATGCAATCTGAACAAGCTACTTCAGCACTCAAAATGTCAGCATTTGGTGACCTTCCTGAATGACACTGTACATTTTTGGCACAATTTACTGAAACAGAAGTTTTCTACGTGAGTATTTTTTCATAAGGCGTATAACTGTAGGTCTTCAACAGACAAAATGTACCTGCACAAACTTCACCAAGTGTACAGAAAGGGGAAGTTTAGTTTGCTAGCAACTTGCACTAGCCACAAGAATTTTTTATACACACTTGCCTCGAAGGCTGATATGTTAGTTATTGTAACAAGTGAGAGTATGTCAGTAAGTTACGAAATGCAATGGAAATAAAGTTTAGGATAAAAAAAGTTGCTTCACCTGCTCAGTATTAGGACAGCAGAAAAGATTCTTGATCGAGAGCGTATATGATATATCATCAGCATTATTTATAAATTCATAACTGTCATCATTCATATGAAACCCATTTTCTGAATCAGTACTGTGATTGACAGATTTTTTTAAATTCTTTTCATCTTACTGAGAAGTGGGTGACTGGTGCAGATAGTTACCGAGATATGTCTGTGTTACGTGGCAATACATCAGCTCTTAACGAGACCCCATTACTTCTGAAAATCCTAATTGAGAAAGATTAATTATGATCTGAACTGTATTTATTGCTAGAGAGTTTGAAGCGGTACTGAAAGTGATGAAGTGGCCATTTGTGAACAACAGTTTAGCCACTCTGCCACCAGATGCTCTTCATCAGTTCCAGCAACTGACTGAATGTCTGCTCCAACTACAACTGCCGTATCCTTCACAGAGTTTTAACTTGGCCAGATTGCAGTTTCATGTACATTAACAATGAAGGGGTTTGCTGATACAAAGATGTCAAATTGATGTATGTTCACCTCGTTTGGAGTTAAATCACACAAACTGAATTAATGTTCTGATTTCAGACTTTTTTAAATTAGTAAGTCCTGTACTGTATTCCTTTCGTGGTTTTATGGCTACCCCAACATTTTATATTCTTTGTGGGTATTTTACTGTAAGAATTTTATTAAATTTTTATATTTAAATGTGTAAACTATATATTTATGCATCTGGCAGCTAGGTAGCTTCAAATAACTAAGCAATTCATACACATCAAAACCCAGTATACATAAAAGTCCTGTAATTATTTAAATTCATAGCTGTGATCACTTTCCATCGTAACAAGAGTGACTCTTCAGACTGAAGACACAGACTACTCATCATTACATTTTTTTGGAGAAAGTTTTATGTCATAGGTGCAATGATCAACTGAGGACAGACGAGTGTATACTATGGCCTAAGACATGTAGTGAAGTATAGTCACTGGATGTCTGGTATAAAAGTATGTTATATGTGTTACTGGAGATATCCATAATCCATCTAAATAAGTTTATCCTAGGCAAAACTAGAATACCTAATGGAACCTAACCTAACCTAACCTAACCTAACCTAACTTAACCTAACCAAACCAAACCAAACTCCAGTGACATGCACAAAAATGTAACTGTCAGTGATTCCATTTGAACTGTAGTAAATGAATTGATTTCATTTTGTATTCCTCCAATTCTTTGATTAGCTTTTTCTTATTTTTACACTGTCTGTTATTTTCAAAGCCAAATAGATTTCACTAACAAAGCGTTTGGGACAAAGTGACCTAGCCCGTCTCAACCTCCTTGTCTTAATTACGCTACAATATTTGGTGAAGAGTTTGTAATTCATTAAAGAATGTGTGAAACTCTGAAGCAGAAACAGAAGTGATTTCCTTAATCTAAAATCAGTGTACATCTGTCACCCCAACCAGTAGTGACATCTACACTTTTGACAGACTTTGCTCCTCTGTGTCTACCAATTTCCTTGATGATTCGTCCATTAAGGAAACGATTTCTGTTTCACTTCTACGGAGCAAAGCAGACAAACCGTCCTGATAAGCCAGAGTGGTTCTTCACGCAGATACTGACATGGATACGTGATCATGAGAAGTGTGTGAGCCAGTGGGTACAACCAATTCTGAATCGAAACAACATGCATACCATATCTGCTAAGGTGATTCATTCATTCAGTCAGTCAGTCCACATCACTGTAAAAGTAAAACTTACGTGGTGCCCTTAATTTGTTTCAAGAAACCAAACATTATAGTAAAATGGGAATAAGTGAAAAACAATATTAGGTAAGGGTGCCTCTACAACAGAGTTAAATGTTCCTAACACATTATAAACCACAAATGTGTGAAATTCACTAAGTCATGTGGAGCCCACTGGTCTTCAGTGTAAATTTTTATGTTCTTTGTATGATGTGCACAAAATAGGGTTGACCATGACTGCCTACCCATTTACTCGAGTTTCCGTTTGAGAATCGTTGAATGGATTTTGATTACGTCTTATATGAATATTACACCATTGGAAGACATGCCAACTGTCCTTTTTGTGAACAGAAGATTTATTAATGAATTCTTGCAGATTATATGTATGCATGATACAAGGATGATAAAGGTTAAAGGTAAAGATGTGTCTACTGGAATATACGCATGTCTGACAATGTGACAGCTCTGTTAATAATGGCTAATATACAATTAGTAGGGTTTAAATTATATATTTAAAATGTGTGTGAAATTGCAAATATTAATTAATGATCATCAGAAGTTAAAAACTGTTTTCCACATATTTCTGCAGCTAGAGATGATGCGTGGGTTGGTACAACTGGTGGTAGAGAAGCTGCATTCAGAACTGCCTCATCTCCAATATGATGATACACTGTTCTCACATACTGTAGATGAGACGCTCGGGTTTGATCGTGAGTTGCGGGAGAGTTTTGGCTACCCAGCCTCTCAACCTAGTGTGATTGGTGTGCTTACCCAAGCACAAATGTTTGTAAAATGGATCCATTTGGAGAAGAAATGTGAGTCACTGTGTCATTTATGTTCCTCTACCAAAGGAAATAAAGTACAGTTTTATAGTTAATAGTATCTACTGTATAGAAAACCTCCAGTTGTGACCCTGATGCCTGTTTATCCAGTGAGGTAATTGTAGTACAGGGTGAGCACAAAAGAACTTTACACTTACTAAATGATGTAGAAAACAAATGAGGTGTACTTAGAATGTTACACCTACAGTAGGTGATAGAAAAAACCCTCAAAGTTTCTTACACACCTCAGAGAGACTCAATAATGCTCCGCACGTCACATGTCAGATGTCAAGACAATATCCGACTCGTCCAAAACTTTGTGCTTAGTGTCCCTAGCGATGGAAATTATGACAGTTGTGACTCACTATAAAGATTATGGTGAAGGATACCTTGCTGGGTGGTTCCAAAATACAAGTTGCGCAGCTGTTAACACACTTTTTTTTTCTATACTGCAGAACGCACGAACTCCTCTGTTGTGGGGTAGCCATTTTCAAAACACGTGGCATCTAGCAGAGGTGTGCAACAACAACAATCACCCGAGTAATTTGAAACAAAACTTAGAGTTTTTCTATTGGCTGTTGTGGATGCGAAGTTATAAGTACGCTGCATTTGTTTTCTGTAACATTTTGAAAGTGTAAAGTCCTTTTGTGCTCAGCCTGTATAACCATCCATTTAGTGGGTTTTCCTACTTAAAATTATGGAATAATACAGATTATCGTGGACAGCACTGTTTTATATGCATGTGAAACTTTGTCAGTCTAGGAAAAGAGCATAGATTGAGGATAAGGAGAAGCAACATTATTTGAGTTTTCTAACGTATCTCCTCTTACGTCATCCTACAGTATTTTCAGTTCATGCCAAATCATCTCACAGATGATATAGGAAAAATAATGAAGAGTAACTCCTTCTCAGAAGTCTCAATTTTGTGTCACCTTGGGATCAGTAATTCATAATTAATGACTTATTTGTTCATAACTGTAACTTGAAGTCATACTTTGATCTTGATGCAGATGCAAGTGAAAAGATGGATGCCATGCTAAGCTCAGATACTGCATGGCTTCCACTAGGAACTCCAGAACTTGATGAGCTGCGCATCACAGAATGTGGTGAGAGTTTCCTAACCCTGTTGCTCACCATAACAGAACGATACAGTAGTTTACCCCAACCCGGACATCGGCTCCAATTCTTGGAACTACAGCTTGAGTTGCTGGATGACTTCCGAGTTCGCTTACTGCAGCTATTACACGAGGAACCTGTAGATCCCCTCAACTCGCGTCTCCCGGCCATCCTCAACACCATCAGCTACTTAGCGTCAGTGCTGCAAGAATGGGGTGATCTCACGGTACTTTCCTTTAATGGCCCCTCATCTAGAAAAGTATGGCGATGTTCACTTCCGTTGCATTCATTGATACTAAAGCTCAGATTTAATCATGGCCTAACTCTTGACTTCTCAGAGGCAGATGCAGAGGTGGGTTCGTTAATAGGACGGTTGAATGAACTGATAGCGAGTGAGGAAGTGTGTACATGACTGAATCACATAGCGGTGAGAGGAAAGAGAAAATGGTAGGGAGCTCGTTAGAAAGTATCAAAGAACGTAAAAATGAAACATACAGTAAAACTTTCTCTGCAGTAATATTGACATACCCAAAGCAGGTTAATAACTTCCTTGACTACTAATAGTAATCGTAATTCACAAAGATGGAACAGGCATTGTGTTACATTTTAATATAGATAAATGCATGGTATGTCATTTGAGAGTCAAAGGTAAAAAGAGAGAGGTCATTATTAAAATAGACTTTAAGAGAGATTGTAAAGATGCAGACTGGATCAAACTAGTTCGACACAGTTTGGTGGTAGTGGTGAAGATGTTGAACCCGAGTTTCATAAGGTAATTCCTTAAAGAGTTAAGGAGGTATTGTATACCAGTGACTGAGTGATCGGTGGGTTGGGCTGGGTTGGTGCAGATTCAGTAGATGTTCAAGGTCATATGTCAGTCAATGTTTCAAAATAAGGTACCGAGAAATGTGGCATCTCTGTTGTAGCACTTCCTACAACTGCAGTATTATAAGGTGCAGTTTGATAATGCTGGTAGTCATGGAGGTTCAAACCTAGCAGTTGACGACAAAGATCTTCAAGGGACAGTGTTTGACGACATAGTGAGACTTCTGTTGCGGATGAAGGATGAGCTCATTAGCAGCCTATGTGAAGCTGTTATGATGGACATCATGGCTTGTAGTCGTGAATACAGGAAAGATAAGTGAGTGGTTAAGGATATTTACTTTGGCATATTAAACTTAGTGTGTTTACATTGCAATTAAAGGCCAGTCCTATCATTCATTGCCTTACAGTCTGAGATAATGAAAGTGTTATTTTGGTCTACAAATAGGTCAATATTGTAATGAAGTATTATTTAATTTGGTTTTGGATTTTATTATTAAGTGATGGTATTAAGTTTTATGCAAAGGAATTATCAGTCCTTCATTTGTCTACTGTCTGAGTTGCTTGTTTCTCCTGCATGTAATTTTAGAGTAATTTCAGGTTTTCACAGCTGATTAATTGCAGGTTATATAGTGACACTTTATAATACCTGTAGAGGTATGGGATGCTTTAATTATTATGCAGTGAGCCAGAAAGAATGGAATAGAATGTGGCCTATTGAGGGTACTATTACGTCATCAGCCTGGAAGGACTGAGGAAAATCATGACATGCCGTAATAACGATAGTCAGTTCTCATGAAGAGATTGAACCAGCCAAGTCTGAAATACAAATCAAGCTCCTTATAAGTTTGCCAAAGAGCTTGCTTCATAAGCAAGCATAGAAACTTAAGTAAAATGTAAGAACTATGTGAGCAGATATTTGCATCATTAACCCCTTTTTTCTTAAAGTAGTAACAGGAGAGATAGTTCTGAGTGAACTCATAAAAGTACAGTCAAAGCCCAATACAGCAGCCCTCATTATACCGCTGCCCTTGTGTTGTGCCCACAGAAGCGTCAAAACAGAAATAACCTATTTAATTTCAAAGGAATGTGAAAAATGGAACAGCAACTGATGAAGTTACTAAGAAACAAGTGGATGTACTTGGACAGCGGATTAGTGTGACAGACTTTGTACACAAAGTTTTTTTTTTTAAAGATGAATACTGTCTAAAATGGCAGTATGAGTAGTTCAAAAAATGTTTAAATACAGATGCACGCACCACAATTTTTCCTTTCTTAACTGAATTAAATTATTATAGAATCTGGTCCTATTTGACTCTGAACCTTTTATCGCTTGGAACTGTAATATGTAATGCATTGTAGTATGTTACAGATTGTAAACATTTTACATATCCCATGTTTGATTTGTCAGATACAACCACAAAGTTTTGCACTGTCATAATATTCATAATTGTTGAATTATGTAAAGTATTTCATACACAATTTTTTAGGAATTATTATACGCTATCTTCATAAAACTTCACAGTCCTAGTTCTTATGGTCCATTAGTTATCACTGTCAAACTCAGAACTAAATTACAGTTTTCTCGCAGGTATCGTGTTATTTTACATTTTATAAATACAATACCCTCACAAAAGTTGCATAGTTTTTTAAGATCCATCACCAGTGTAACTGCAGGGGTTCTATATTTAGTGGCATTTATGTCACATCATAAGTTTATCCTTTCTTCTTCTTCTTTTACCATTTGTAGAAAATTAAAAAAAAATTCCACGGTTTAGGAGGCATCCAACGGAACAATATTCATGCTAAATTACATAGAAATCTGTCATTCGTTTCAGAAATTAAAAGAGAACGTAGGGAATAGACATGGTCATCTCATATGTCTACTCTTTTCCTTAACGAAGGAAAGTAGGCGAAGGAACATGGATGTTTCTGACTGATTGTTAGTATGTTCACAGTCATTTCTACCTTCACGGTAGAGTTTGAGATATATGTGTGAAGTGTCACTGTTCCAGGTGGTTTGCAATGTCATCACCGAAGGACCCGGTAAACCAAACAATTACACCTAGCGTCTGCCTCATGTTCCAAGTATTGGCCGAGCGACTTCACCAGCTACAAGAGCTGTTATCTGTTCCGCTGTTCAGTACTGCTTGGCAAACACTTGCAAAGGATCTTAACCAGGTCTGTAGTAAATTCATGCCACACGGTAGTCCCCGCTACAAAATGTTACTCTACATACTTCCCCCCTTCGGCGTTTATCGTCAAACTTCCATCATTTTCAGTACCGCTAATACCATTATTCCATAAATGGATTAAATATGAGGTGTGTCAATTAAGTTCCTGGAATAACTCAGTAAAAGCTGTATTTAATTACCTACGGCTTTTAATTACGTATCGCTAAATGTGGTTATGTTCATAATTTTGTTGCAGTTCATTTATGAAGAAGTGATACTGCAAAACAAGTTCAATGAGGGCGGGGCAATGCAGTTTCAATACGATATGACACGGAACATGTTCCCACTTTTTGGACAATTCACTCGCAAGCCAGACATCCACTTTCCTCAGTAAGTAGATCATCACTAAGGAGATAAAGGTAAAAATAAAGCCGGCGTGCGTCTGTGCACCCATCTCGTGAAGATGCATCGCAGTCATGATTATGGGAAATATATATCCCACTTTAATACCACCCTGAAATCTATTTTAGAAGACAATTTTGACCACAAAAGGATTAAATAAGAAACAATATTATCTGTACTTCAACCTTTATAGAAACTGTATAATGAATAAATAACCTGTGTAAAGGTGGCGACTGACTTCTAACATTTGCCTGTAATGTAACGTGTTATAAATCGAGCATTACACAAGTGAAGACAGCGAACGGAGCCGCTCACGCTCGCGGGCGCTCCATCGTGTTGTCGGTTTTGAGCACAGTCGAGCCGAGCGTTCAAAACGAGCATTCGATGCGCCTCACCAGTTGTGGTGTAATGTAACATGCTCGCCGCGAATGTTACATTACGAGTAAATGTTACAAGTCAGTCGCCACCTTTAGATACGTAAACAAGTGATACAAGAATTTAATGGTAAATACTTAGTAAGGTATATTGACTTGTAATTTTATATCTAGCGGTTTAAAGGATAAAATCCAAGCAGAACTCAATATTAAGCAAGGAGCCCGGTAACGTAATGGACAGACGACACTTGGGGTTGTCATACCATTAAAACTATACTTTCCTGGTGTAACTGTCAAATTAATTTAAATACTACGTAAATCTTCAGCATCGTACCACATTTTACTGATTAAAAAGGCAGAAAGATATTTACGTGTTAACATAGCAAAGGGTTACAGAGTTTTACTCAATCTAGACCAAAAAAAAAGTAAAAATTATCATCTTACTGGTATTGAAGACCAGGAAAACTTAAAATATTTTATTATAGAACAAGTTTATGTTTACAGGGTAAATGACTCGTGCATTTTGCTGAACCTCTCGAAAGGATCTGCCCTTCTGAAAAAAACAATCACATATTGTCTGACGGATGATGGAATCAAGGGCTTACAAGAAGAAAATGTACTATCCGAAATTGGAGTCCATCGACTCGATGCAGAGAAATCTCTCGCTGTCCTGAGCCGTCGTACAGACGTCACACACGACCTCATACACGACCTCACACACCTGTAGACTGTCACTGGATAAAATTAACTTATTGTTTCAAGAATAAGCTCTATAATATGTTGTTAAATTTTATGTGTGTGTGTGTGGATGATTTGATTAAATGTAATTTGTTTAAAGAATAAGTTAGTCTAAAAACAAAATTTATTTGATCTGAGACGCATCACAACAACGAACTTACCTAAGATTCGGTGGATAATAACAACAGACATCGTTTTCTGAACTGCGGCATAGTCGGGAGCCGTTGTAAATGTAGTCAGGCAAATTCAAAAGTGCTTTTTACTGTTGACTTTAAAGAAAATAATAATTTAGTCACTGCCTTGTGGTTATGAAACATGTTTTTTTGTAAAATTTCAATTATTTGAAAACAGTCTGGTTAACAATAATGAACAGTTCTCTACGAAAGATTCATTTGAAGCGGGAAAAGGAGTGGGTCAGCCCCGCAGAGTCGCATCGGACGACGTCGTCTGTCGAGGGAAGTAAAATTTGGAAGTTTTGAACATTACAAATAACTTTAAAATAATAAAAAAATTCTGGTTTGTCGTTCACATTTAAAATGGCCTACGCGTTCCAGCAAAGGAATATAACCTGGAAATATCCAAAATGAAAATGAATGAAGGCAGTGACTTCACGGACGTGAATGACGCGATTAGTACAGTATCTTCCATAATTTGATTACCTAATCATGGAATACAGTTGGTAAAATTCTATAGTTTAATGACATTGCATCAATCGTAAAGTTCATGTGTGTCAGTCATGAATGTGACTGAAAAACCCGAAAAATTAAATAACGTACTAAATGCCACTGTCGGACAGCTGTAAACATCGAATATTGTGCAGTCTTATTATTACCATTCACGCAGTGTGCGACCTATCGAGTTGAATAAGTGGTATCGAGTATTCTCGCATTCGTCACGCAGGCGCGTTGAAATCCAATATGGCAGCTAACATAAATATACCACAACCGGTTCCTTGCACGACAATTTCGATTCATTATTTGAAACCAACCTTCCATACCCTGCAATACATTATTAGTTAATTCAGTGTTATAAAATCCAACTAAAGACCTGCCATATATTAGGTAGGGGGTATTCGTGCATCTCAAATGTACCTCACTAAGTATTTATCGGAATGAAAAGTGTGATACAGAAACAAATGAAACACGCGAGTTGTAAGGAAACGTACATTGTGGTGGCAGCACTGGAAACAGCTTATTAATTTACGGAAAGAGTCGCGAAGTTACAGTCGATGTCACGCAAATGAGATCCCATCAGAATAAAGGATTAACTGAATTCTCGCAGGATAACGAATTACCAAGGACGTCATTCTTGTAATTGATACTTACGGTAATTCATTACATAAAGCATGCTTCTAGAGGCTGCCATATTGTCCTCTTCTAGATCTTTCGAACTGTTTGTTTACTGTGTGTTGTACATTGCACAACCCCTGCTTATTATAACTTAAACAATTTGGATTCTTTATTTCCTGAAAATATTTCGTCAATTCAAACTCTTCGTGCTTTGCAGTTGAATAACATTGCGAATGGGATGACTTGCATTCTTGGACAATGAGAAGGACCTGCCTATTATGGGAATTATTAGCATATTTTCACAAGGAAATTGGCTTTCTGTTTCTGAGAGACATAATTGCCGAGTGCCTCCTATGTGGATCGAGTCTTGTAAAGCTTATTGATACATAAATAGCGACGCTATATGAAGTGGAGTTCATGTTTTGCTGGTGTTTCGTAAGGAAATATCTAAACGCAACAGAGAAAAATTCCATTTTGTGGTCGCGGGTTTTGCAAAAACAAAGACTGCTAGGATATCTAGAGCGGATAACACGTGCTTGCGGCAGGTGACTCAGGGGTTGACACCCCTGCAACGGATCGATAAGGACGAGCCTGCGCGAACAGGTTCTGATGCTGTGTCACACATCGATTCTGGAGCAGTGGACGCTGGTCAGTCGCCATCTTGACAAGCATGGAGGACCGATTCACGGGACTTTAAAACAAAGGTCTGCGTCAGAAACAGGTTTGTGTTTCAGATTGGAATGTCTCAATCTGTTTGTTGCGCACACATTCCTTGATTGTATTTTCACTGCCTGTGATCGCACACATTATCAGAAGCATGAGCACATGTACAGAAATGTTCGGCGGCCTAGTATCCAGCCTATACGCACTTACGGGAAGCTTATACTTCGAGGACAGTTGCTGAATTAGAATTTTAAATTTTGTTAAAGACAATTTTTATGAAGCCAAAATGTGTTTTATAAATCATAATACTTATTTTGTTTTAGTCCTTCATTTTAAATTTGTTTTTCAAGTTATATAGAGCATGTTATGATAATTGTGGGTTATGAATTAAGGCGTATTGTGTAGGCGGTTCATGCAGAAGGCATTATCCAGCTCCTAAATAACACAGATTACATTTTAATTAATATTACAGCGTTGTAAATTACAGTGCGAATGATAAAAGTAATCAGGAGACAAATGTAAATGCCACGGAAGCATCGTTGAGTTACATTAATTAATTTTAATGTCTTGGTCGTAAACATATGGGGAGGAGTCTAAGGACAAGAGGGGGTGAGCCCCCCCCCCTACTCAATTATTACACAAGGGACACGTCGCCCTAGAGTCTTGGAAGACAACACGGAATTTTACACTTTTTCAGAATGACCATAACCTATTAACAACGAATTAAATAAAATTAAAGAAAATTATGTAAAATATAACTACAAACACAAGAAAGAATACGGACAATCACTGTAGATGGCATCCAGCGACGGCACATTTAATGACCTAATCGAAATTCTTAAACTGAAACCTAAACGTTCATGCATGAGATCGAAGTTCAAAATTACGTCTCTGAGCTGTGTTGCAGTGTGGACTAGATACCAACACCTAGGGGAAAAAATACGATATCTTCATCTTCAGCACTGAGTATGACATGTCGGATGTTCAGATCTGAAGATAGAGGCAGTACGTTCCACTGAAATGTTGGAATATATGTACCAGTTCGCGCTGTGTCGCAACCCAGAACAATAGAAACTACGAATTAACGCTCATACTAAGTGTTTAGTGGAATAAAGTATCAACGTTCTTCTCATTTTAATATTATATATGAGCCTGAGAAAATCAAATTTTGACGAAATACCAGTAATGTTTTCTGGCGGAAAAACTAAGAGAAATTTTTTGAGGACACTTAAGATACAATAATATTTTTATAAAATATTCCTCACCAAAGTCTTTCAGAGAAAAGACTTTCAAACATTTCTTTTTGACATTGTTATATTCCTAAATTAAAGAAATATAATTAATTTTTATCAAACACGGTGGATTACATTTTAAAACCCGTATTTATTCGTGTTTCGAAATGGTTGCGATGTAGGAATAATATAGAATGTGTAATTTTTGGTACTCATTTTCTGTAATAAAATAATTATCGAGAATCTCAAAGAGTACTTCTGCAAAAACAGGAACCTTGATGATAC